ACTGTTATTTTTAATTAAATAATTAATTAACGGTCAGCGTGTTTTTTCTTAAATGGAGCTGAATTGGTATGCTCGTATTGGCTAAATTTCTCACATTTTGGGGTCTAAAATTACCTTCATAGCAATTTTAGGTTCTAAAAGGGCACTAGAAAATGTCATAGATAAGAATAAAAGCAATAACCATGCACTTTGAAGGCATTTGCGGTCTGAAAACAGAACTCAACTATCCCTTTAAATACCAGTGAAATATTATGAAATTACATTGAATCATAATTACACATAACAAACATCTTTATGATTACTTTTAAACAAAAAATCAAGATGTTTTTGATGGTTACAGTATGAGCTAAATAGAAGGAATACAAAGTATGCCTTACATATGGCGGTTATGCTATGTGATTGATTGTGTACATCTAACCGAGGGTCCATCTTTTCTCACCATTTCAAAAAGCATTTGTACATGTATAGCTGCTGTATATACAAGTTTCATCATAAAGTATACTACCTACATTTCATTTTGTGTTCGTTTAAAATCTTTAACGACAAGACGTATCTACAGTAACTGGGAAACGAAGACTGAAGTAATACCTTTTTAAAATAATCTTTCATAATCTTTTACAATCTTCAACGAAAGGACGTTTCTAGAGAAAATCATGAATATATGTTCTATTGAACGCAATTATACTGAGTTCTTAATGCAACCTTTAATACAAAACTCAAGATATATATATTTTTTTATATAAGAGAACGAACAAGCGAACATGGTATTAACAAAAACGCACACCATCGTTTAGATTAAATTTAAAAAATCTAGAGTAATAATCACACATGCTCCAAATACAATAATTCTCTGCGAGAATTGCGGAATTACAGAATTACGTACAATGTAAATAAAAAAATTGTAAATAATAATTTAACATGTTCAAATTGAACATTAAAAAAATGCAATAAATCAGAGATATAATGCATTGAACTGAAGTTAAATCTTGCAGGTTCAGATAAATAAACATAAAAAGTGAATTACAAAGCAAATGAAAAATATAAGGAACGATTAACATGATCAAAAAATTACGTTGTTTTTCAGAAATGATATCTATTTTCAGAACAGAGAAAGATAACTAAAAGACAGAAAAAATGAAGTAAACATGAAAAGCAGACGGTAGAAAGGTAGAAAGAGTGGATAAGAGTACAGAAATGGAAAGGGGAGAGGTAAAGAGAGGAAAGAAGAGCAAGAGTAGATTTATTACAAGATTTTGTTTCAATTTTTAGATCTGAAGATTTTCGTAAACATCTTCATCGTCGGCATGTCGTGGCGTGTCGTATACTTCATCATGATCTAGTGAAGATCCCTCTGGTAGCTTGGGAGGGACAACGTTAAGTTCCATGCAACCTTCCTCACCATGTTGTGATCCGTTGTAACAGTTCTGATTGCCTGTCCGATGATACCCCTCTTGCTGCTGACTACTAGCCTCATTTGCTGATCTCCTGTAGATGTAGAAACGCAATTACAAATGGAAAATCGATGTGCAGTTCTGGCTTATAATCGGAAATTGTTGTTCCGTGTACTGTATTTTATTTTGAAAACATGTTGATATATTAGATAGAGTTTATAGTTGGATTGGTTGTGATTTAAAATCCCGTTCCCCCTATTCCCTCATACTATTCCAGAGTTACAACACACAGGGTTTATAAAGATCATGGCATTCTGGCATTTATAAGGTCATAGGTGTGTGCGAAAGTCTGCGAATCAGTAATAATACATTTCATATCACCACAATCGTCTGCTTTTCAACTTTGCTGCTCCCCATTGAGGATGCTTTTATTGAAGACACACTCTTACAGAGCACACCATCCAAACAAAACCCAAGTGAGGGAAACTGCTCCCTTGTCAATGACCGAAAATTCTTACGCAGTCGTTATTGTTAAAACAGCTGAATGTTCTCATTAAGATGCACATAATCAGAAGGCGGCGACTAATATTGGATCAAAAAAAGAATCACGTTGAATGTCCATCCGTATTAGGTCCATGGTACAACGAATCGTCTACTTTCTCTAATAATTTAAGAAAACGTCAAAGCTTCCGCGCCACGCGCGGGAAGGGGGAACTAAATTTAGACAATTTGAGTTAAGACTCAAGAACGGTACAACGAATCGTCTTCTTTCTCTAATAATTTGATGAAACGTCAAAGCTTCAGCGCTTCGCGCCGGATGGGTAAACTAAATTCAGACAAGGATTCAGAGTCGAGAACGGTACAACGAATCGTCTTTATTCTTTAATGATTTAATGAAACGTCAAAGCTCCCGTGCTTCGCGCGGGAGGGGTGAACTGATTTCAGACTAGGATTAAGAGTCGAGAACGGTACAACGAAACGTCTTCTTTCTCTAATAACTAAATAAAACGTCATAGCTTCTGCGCTACGCGCGGGAGGGGCGAAACAAGAATTAAGAGTCGGGAACGGTACAACGAATCGTCTTATATACACTGTCGCTCATATAGGTGGAATATTTTTGTTTAACCCCAATTTACGGCATTATTTTAAAAATTATTTAAAAATAATAGATCTAGATAAAAGTATACATTCTCAGATTTTATTGAATAATAATTTGCTAATGTGTGTTTTGCGTGACTGCTAAAGCATGTGTATGCTTTTATGCTTATCAAATAGGGGACATACGCCCTAATAAGTCATAAATGACAGTTATAAGGATTAATGCCCCATAAAAGGGCACTAATATAGCACATCGACACGCTTTTGATCCTGGGACCTCACAGTTACGAGGCCATTGCTTTGTCACTGAACCATGACTGTAAACAGCGGGGGCTAGGGTAGGGGCAGTTTCCATAAATAAAAAAAACACATAAAATGCAATAATTTTTCAATAATTTATTGCATTTTACCCCAGTTCCCAACATAAACAAATCTTCTGTGTGCGTATGCCTTGAGCCATAATGCATGGCCATCCAGAGGATTTGTCTATGTTGGAAACCGGGGTAAAATGCAATAAATTATTGAAAATTTATTGCACTTTCTGTTTTTTATTTTATTTATGGAAACTGCCCCCTACCCTAGCCCCCGCTGCGTGCAGTCATGGTTCAGTGACAAAGCAATGACCTCGTAACTGTGAGGCCCCAGGATCAAAACCGTGTCGATGTGCTATATTAGTGCCCTTTTGTGGGGCATTAATCCTCATTAGTGTCATTTATGACTTAAAGTGACTTGGTAACATTGTTGAAGGTTGATGAAAAAATTGCTTAAATTTTGTATAAAATGTTACTTACTATATTCTTTCTACTGTACTTACCCTCTGACATGCAAAAAATCCTGAAAAAAATTCTCAAACCACGAAGATATCTATGGTTTTCTTTGAAGGCGTCGATGTACGACACCCAACCATTTTTTGAATTTTCCCAACCGTTTGTTCATGAAAAAAAGACATAAAACAGGCTTTAAATAATCTGTCAACACTTAAATGTCTGGAATGGATTGTAGAGCCATTTTTATTGCTTTGCGAGATTTCCATTCACCTAGAATGTAATTAAATTTGAATAATATAGTTGGGAGAATTAGGGAATCGATCAGATCAGTTTTTCCCAATTTGTACCATTCAAACTTTTCAGATTATCTTTAATTGTACATCTAGCATTGAAGTCACTACCTTGGCACCACTATCTCTCATCTGAACAATGTTACCAAGTCCCTTTAAGGGCGTAGGTCCCCTATTTGGTAAGCATAGTAGCATACACATGCTTTAGCAGTCACGCAAAACACACATTGTCAAATTATTATTCAATAACATCTGAGAATGCATATTATTATCTAGATCTATTATTTTTAAATTATTTTAAAAATAATTCTATAAATTGAGGTAAAACAAAAATAGTCCACCTTTATGAGCGACAGTGTATCTAATAATGAAATGAAATGTCAAAGCTTCCGCGCTTCGCGGGGAGGGGGGAACAAAACAATATTTTAGCTCCCGGCCCCGGGTTCATAGGGTAAAATATGTACACATGGGGACATTGGCATTAATATATTTGTCGGTAACTGGTGGCTAGTTTTGTCGGTAATCGGTGGCCTCTTCACCCCCCCCCCCCCCCAATGAAAAATGTCTAGCGACGCCCCTGTTAAGCACATGGTGACGGGCCTACTTACAGTATTTGATTTCCGTATTTCTCTATGCTCATTACTTTAATAGTCCCTATACATTTTCTCTACAAAGATCGTTTGGCTCCGGTCATTTCATTGTTATTTTGAACCTTCACTGTAGGTTTTGTTAGATTCTGTGAAGAAAAAAAAACTTATTTGTATTTATTATCATTACCAGATGTCAAGCTTATCTTAGAGAAAAATGTCTGAGAAGATTTCTCGTTTTGTTTCTAAAATGAGACTTAAGAGTAATTAAAGGGGCAATCTCTTTCCGGTGACATACCTCCGTTGATATTTTTCCAACCTGACATTTAAAAAAATTAGCAAAGCTCACACGTCAATTGTTACCATTTCCAAATCTCAACCTTCTCTTTCAGTCTACAAATTAAAAGCTAAATTAAATCTTAATGTAACGTGTTTTGCTGTGAGGCATACCTGTACTTCAGCATGAATACTGTCATGATGATACAACCCAAAAGGCTACCAAAAAATGCAACGGAGAGGAATCCAATCAAACCTGGGTGAGGAATATGAATGGCATTGATTACATTTAAAAAAACAGTCGCAAAACATCAATTTAAAGAGCATATCAATGTGTACCAAATAAAGTAAGGTTCGTTACTAAGGTTAGGAATGTTTGGGAACCGTACGCAACCCCATTTCTGATAGACCTACAATAATGTGAACATCGTACATGTATGCATTCATTGTATTTGGATCAATAAATAACATTTACATCGTTACAAAATTTACAACTGACTAGTTTCGGATAACTATAATAATAATTGATCCTAAATAATTAAACAAAACTAAAACAGACTGTGTACCTATAAAAAGATAGCTCACTTTTGACTAATTCTCTTCATAGAGACATAATCTATCAATGTCTGAAATGTCAAAAAACAATGTGTTTCAATAAACTACACAAAAATGTTTCCTTGGAACTCTCTCCTTTTTCCCTCTGTATGTTTTCTTACTTTGAAGTTTATATAATGCACCTTTTTAAAAACAAGCACAGTTAACACAATATTATCGAAAAAATAAATAGGTCTTAAATACAAGCTTCTATTCATAAATTAACGAAATCAGACCTCACCATCGACAAAAGACGGCAAAATGGCAACTCTGTCACGAGTTTGTGGTGTCATTCCCTTAGTATTGAAACAAATCTCGTATACTTATATTTTTTATATCTAGAAAGTCCCAATTAAACCTTGTCAAGTGAACGTTCACTATTTCTGTCACTGACCGGTGTCAATAATACACTGGCCATGATGGGAGAAACCTACATGAAATCACTTCGAGGAGAAGTTTATTACCTCAACCTCGTATTTTCAATAGCAATCAAATTCAGATTACGCAATACGTGGTTTTCATGCACGCACGCTCATCATGAAGTAACGCACTAGGCATTAAACAAAGGTTGTTTTGGCAACCCGAAAGCTTGCCCGATGCTTACCCGACATAGCAACAATTCGTCCTTGTTTTCACGAAGTGACGGTAGTGAGGAAAATCGTAACGCAAAGTGAATGCAATTTTTTTCACTACCGTCACTTCGTGAAAACAGTGACGAATTAGTATAAACAGACTGGATTTCGAGTATCGTCCATTCATTAACAACATGTTAAAGGGATAGTTGAGAAGTTGTTTAAGACCGCAAATGCCTTCAAAGTACATAGTTATTGCTCTTCTTATTTATGACATTTCTAGTGCCCTTTTAGAACCTCAAAGTGCTATGAAGGTAGTTTTTAATAAACCCCAAAATGTGTGAATTTAGATTGAATACGATCATACCAATTCAGCTCCACTTTCAAAATATTACGGTGACCGTTTAATTCAATAATTAATTAATAATGACAATACACGGGCCGGCTGGTTGTGCGTTTCCTAACCAACACGAAAAAGCCAATATTGACATTGGCTGGAATAAAACGTATAAAACATCTCGTTTTTCAACGGCTGGTTCAAAATCACCTATTGTTGGGCACCACAAATATTAGAAATGGTTATATTTATGGATATTTCAGCCGTCTCTAAATCGATTTTTATCAAATAAAGATGATTATGTCATTAAAACTGTATATTCTTTCGAATTTGACACTCAGGTTTTCATTATCTCACAGAAGATTATTGTGTGTAGCGCCCTCTGCAGCAAAACTCAACTATTCCTTTAATTAAAGGAATAACTCGTCACTAGGTAAACAGGAAGGAAACATCCATCAATTTGAATATCTTGGTATAAAACTTGTCTATTAATTATCTTGGGGTGATTAATCTGGAGTAATAACGATCGTGTTTCTGACATATAACTTAATACATTACTCTGTCCAAGAAAATGAAAATCAACGGAAATTTAGTATACAATTATATCTACAAAATAAACATTTTGAAGGCTAATAGTAACTTGCAATTAAACTTACCATGTCTGGCAGGCCGGGATTGACCCATTTTACTGCCGTCAGTTGTCAATTTCGTAGATGATTCCTGGTCCACTTCTGTTAATTGAATGAATTCAATGAATTAATATAAACTAGGCATGACTGATTAGGCCTATAAGGAGACCAAAAAGCATTTCCATAATATGATTTAAACAGTTCGTTTTCACTGGCTGCCTGCCGTAGCAATAAGCAGAATTGACAAAAGACTTAACTACGTTTCATTGACAATCAGCCATAGACGAAAGACTTAATGCATGGCGGATTGTCAATGAAACGGAGTTAAGTCCTTTGTCAATTCTGATTGTTGCTACGGCAGGCAGCCAGTGAAAACGAACTATTTAAATCAAATTATGGAAATTCAAGCATCACTTTAAACAAACAGAACTTTGTTATTCCTTGCTCATTTTTTCGGCTTGTGAAAGTCATGGGGTTCATGTTTGACCTAAATGTTTGTAATTATCATTGCAGCATGAGCTAAATCAAGGATTTGTTAAGGAATCTTAGAAAAATATACCCAATGTCTTTAAATACGATAGATGTATATAGCTCGAACTCGAGGGCGGATAGATCGTAAAATGAACTAATTCGTGTGCATCATTATGTGTATACTATTATATCAGTTACAGACCATTTCTTGTTCATGTATTAGTCGAGCTCGTTATGCGACCGTTCATAATTCAACTAGAATGATAATTCACTCGCCGGGGGGGGGGGGGTGGAAATAGATGTAACGTTTAACCGTAACACGGAATGAAGCACGGATGGTGGCCCATATGCGGTTCGGCAGCCCACTAGGGCCCTGAATTAAAGAGAACCAAAAAAAAGTGTCGTTTTCTCTTTTTTTTTGGGGGGGGGGGGGGTTTAGCAATCTTGCCGAAAGATCCACAAACTCTTTTTAATAATACGTACACGGTGTTTCCTTAAAAATTATAAACCTTCAATTTTGAATGCAGGATTGTCTTTAAGAAGTCATTAGCATTACGGAAACTGATTTATCTCCTCAGAAAATTTAACTTCAATATTAAAGGGAAATGTATTGCTAGTAATATATTCATGTTGCTGTTTTGTGCTGTGTTTAAACCACCATTACCATATTCGATGCATGAGACACCAACGTCCTGCAAGTGATCACAGTCATGGTTTTCATAGCCACTTCTTCGACAATGGACTATGTTTGGTTCAGTGCCCTCGCATTTCACTTCATCAAGGACAATAGGTCCTTGTCCTAGTCCAAAGGCGGCGCAGCAGGAGAAGTTCTCCGCCCGTTCGTAACCGAGCATTCTGCAAACGACGTTGGCGTCATTTAGGTCCCAGTTGTCATCACACACTGTCCCCCAAGTACCAAGGTATAGAATCTCGACGCGGCCTTCTTTGTCAGATCTTCCACCGACCAAACGAACCTGAAGATCATCTGAAATCACGTGACAACAATATCAAGATACCTACGTAAAAGGGACTAGCGACACTTTTACTGATTCTATTAATATTGGTTGTATGAAAGAAAGAAAATAAAAAAACTTTTTCTTTCTTAAGAACTACTAACTCCTTGAGAGATTTTCATCATCCACAACAGGTACATCTTAGTGGCTTTGTGGTGAATTTTTACAACAAGTAGACAAGATGAAACATTGGAGGGTATAAATATGTTTGAAACATTGTTCGTTGAATGTTTTAGACACTGTAAACTATGTTAATCGTTGACGTTAGAACTTGATCGAGTTATGGTAAGATACATTTGGATCCATTGGAAAACATGTTGGAAACCTCAATACAGAGTAAGTAAAGGTGAGTTATTCTGTTTGGTTATAAATTTGTGATTTGGGATATAATAATAAATACACCCTGCCTTCCTCTCGAGGTACTGGTTACTATGGACCTCGGTGACTCCAATATTGATATCGGAGTCACCTTTTGCCAATAGTTTTGAAGTATTAAACCCTTCAACCAAAATGTAAGTTAATTTAAATGGAAAGCTGTTGACCTCAATAATTTTTTAGAAAATATTTTTCTAGATTGTTGTTATACTTACCTAAGTCGTAACAACCAAGAAATCATGAATTAGTAATCAATCATTTTCTCACCAAAATTACACAAATAAACAAACAAAAGCTCGTACTATACATGGAGTCTAAGGTTCTTACCGTATAATTTTGTTGCATGTTTAGATTGTTTTGCATGTATGTTCCTTGAATAAAATAAAGATAAAATAAAAAGAAAGAAAGTCTAATGTTGCTTATTACATACAACCGACGAAAGAAAATACACAGATTATAGAAGTCAATGAAAATTAACAGAATATGTAAGTAATAACTATATATTGCCGGTAATCATTCGTACTCAAATCACACTGACCTACAAAACCACCCCAATCGCCTACGTCACCATCGAAGCCGCCCAATTTGGATGATTTCGGTTTCGTTTTGGGGGGTACTATTCCCAGAATCAATGTTAAATGTCTGATTGTGGTCACATATGTGTTTTTAGGGAAAATATATGACACTTTTCACTTTCTTTAGACCATGAGCTTTCATTTGACATACAATATCTATTTGAATCAATGTCTACTTCAACCAAAACATCTCAAGACAGTGTATATGTGTATACTAAAACACCATATCTGTAATGGTTCTAGAGATTGCACCAAACCGAAGTTGATAGCTGGAATTCCAGAAGTTGCTTTGAATCTGTTTACTCCAAAATCTAATTAGATTATATTCCTAATTGATTCATACTGTTATCAAGTTTTAAGTTCATATCTCAAGTAGTTCTTGTGATATCGCGATAATGAAAAAAGGGACAAACAAATCGAACCAAAACCTTCATACTTTGTTACTTGTATTGTGTTGTTGAAAAAATTCTATAAAATAAGTGCAATTTAAAAAAAAATGGGCAAGGAATAAGGTAGATAAAATGTTGAACTTTAACGATTGTCCTCTTTCTCTTTTTGCTGAGTGTACAAGTTTTGTTTTAATACGTTTTTGTTGAAATGCAAGTTCACTTTGAGTACTCAAAGTTGGCTATAATTTTGTTGTCAAGTGAATTCTGAAAAAAGGTGTAACAAACTTGTTGTTGTCGAATGGGAGCTATATTCGTTTCGATCATTAATTGCAGAGCATGGGTTTTGTAGGTTCGCATGGTGAAACAGGTACGTTTAAGGAACTATATTGCAATGAGTACTTAAAAGGAATGTAAGTTATGGACTAAGAGAAGGGTCATTACGTTTCGAACACCATGCTCAGTTGGGAACATTTAAATTCGTATTTCCTAAATGAAATCTTTCCCAGAAAAAAACACAAAAATGCTGTTTAGGACAACGTACACGATGTTTTATATAACGTGCATACGCCTTTAGTTTCAAATACAGTACATAATTATTTAGAAGAAGTCCTTTGCATTAAAGAAACTTATTTATCTCTTTCGAAAATATAAACTTTGATATAATCAAAGAAACAATGATCGCTAGTAACATATTTATATTGTTGTGATTTTGTTGTTTTGTGTTGTGTTACAACCATTACCATATTCGATGCATGAGACACCAACGTCCTGCGAGTGATCACAGTCATGGTTTTCATATCCACTTCTTCGACAATGGCCTATGTTTGGTTCCGTACCCTCACATTCCACTTCATCAAGGACAATAGGCCCAGGTCCTAGTCCAAAGGCAGCGCAACAGGAGAAGTTCTCCGCCCGTTCGTAGCCGAGCATTCTGCAAACGACGTTGGCGTCATTTAGGTCCCAGTTGTCATCACACACTGTCCCCCAAGTACCAAGGTAAAGAATCTCAACGCGGCCTTCTTTGTCAGATCTTCCACCGACCAAACGAACCTGAAGATCATCTTAAATCAATTGACAACAAGTTGACAATAAGTTGCCCATGTAAGAGGGACTGGCGACTTTATTACTGCTACTATAAATATTTCTTGTGCAAAAATCCCCAAGCTGCTATTTGAATAATTAGTAACTCTTTGCGAGATTTTCTTCCTGCAAGAGCAGTAACAAAATATCTTTCCACTTTTGTTTATACACCCTTGAGTTGTAAAACAAGACAAATGCAACTGCGTCTCTAGTATGCCTACACCCTTTATTCATTGTAGGAATTGAATGAAATTATCTGTGACATATCGAGATGAAAACAAAAAGCCTACATTAAATGTCAAATTACGACTTTAATCTTGACCTACTAACCCCAAAATTTAATTTGATCGTCTTTAACTATAGTGTTAATCTCACCATGTGAGGAGGCGCGATTGCTCAGTGAGGAGGCGCGATAGCACAGTCGGGAGAGCAGTGGTCTCGTAATCCGGCGACCCGCGTTCGAAACCAAGTCGATGCGCTAGTGTCCGGAGAGGAGAGGATTTAAAGCCGTCGGCCGTCTGGTTGCTTACTAACAAGCATTAATGCTTTCTTAGCAGTCAGGTAAAATAACCACCACCAACATACATTTAAAGCTTTTATATAACTCAAGAAATTCACGACATATTGTGATAAGGGTAACAACTTTAATTTCCAAAATTGGTCCGTTTGACCTTTGAAAATTGACCTACTTACCAACAATTTAATCAGATTGTCTCCCAATGGTAATACATATCATATACGTCATTCATATATTTTTTTCCATTGATTGGTTAAAAATGTGTCACATGATCACAAATAAACACATTATTTTGCATGAAAACTATTTACAGCTCCCCTAGCCGTAAATAGTACGCCTATTTACGGCTCGATTAACGATGGCTCAAAAATCGATCAAAAATTAACGATCAATATTGCAAAGGTCATTTCCCACGAACGACAATCAGAACAACAGCAGAGTATAAACCTTTTAATCAATCAATAAACAATGAATATGTCAATGGAGTATATTAAACAAAACTATTCTGTTTTTGTTCGAGTCTCTGGATCAAAATTATGGGACCTGAGTCCGTGACTACAAAGCTGCTGGCGCGCGCATGCGCCCCTCAGCAAAATAGCGTCATTGGAGTGGTCACCTTGAGCCCATAGTTTTTACCAGACCCTCTTGAAATCAGTGTATATTTGTATTTTTGTATTGGTATTTGCAGTTTTTAACCTCATATCCCAAGTGGTTCTAGAGATTGCGCGATAAAGAGGTTAATAGCCGGAATTCCAAAAGTTGACCTCTGTGACATTGGACCTCTGATCTACACTGTTGGTCTTAATGGTGGAATAATTATTTTAAGCCCCAATTTATGGAATGATTTTCACAATGATTTATTGCTAACATATAGCTTCGTTTAGTCTCATTTGACAACGCCCCCTATCGTCAGAGTCCAGCAGCCTGTAAACATGTAAGCCTTTGGACTTTTACCCGAAAAATCGTTCAAAAATCTTCTTCTTTTTTTTAACGAAAAGCACATCCACCCCGACGTCCGTTATCACTAGCTCTTTCATTGTAACCCCCATGTCCCATTGACTTTTGAAAGTTTACCCACCGTAATTTGGTCAAAATAGGTCGCCAGCTCGCCATTGCATATATAACACATGTGCAACAAGTCGAACTTTGGACGCAATTTACCAATTGTTAGGTATAAGTCAAGCACACGAAGGATAACAAGCATGAATTATCATAGATCAGTTCTGCTTGGTTCATTATGTCCATTTTAGCCAACCCCCCACCGTACTTTTCCATTTAGTATAGACAAGCATTTTGCCGAGGTAAGCAAAAAAATGAATATTAATGAACACCATAGACTATTCGATTATTAAGTGAGGGGTCCATTTGTGCACCACATCAAACTCCCCTACTTTCAATCAAGTATTTCATTGTATTATGTAGTTTGGTAGGTTTATTTTACTAACTGTTTAATTATCAGATATCAATGATAGTTTAAAGATATGGAAAAGGTTCTTGTATTTTATATTTAGCAAAGCAATCTCACATACAAAATCACAATCAAGTGTCGTCTGATCCGCCGATTGCCGTCTGCTATATACGCAAACTAGCTACGTTTGTGCTGGCGAAAATGAGACAACCGGAGCAATATGTAGATCTAGATAATAGTATACATTCTCAGATTTTATTGAAAAATAATTTGAGAGTGTTTATTTTGGGAGACTGTTACAGCATGTGTAGGCTACTATGCTAATCAACTAGGAGACTTACGCCCTTGAGTCATAACTGACAGTTATGAGGATTAATGCCGCATAAAGGGGCACTAATATAGCACATCGACACGGTTTTGATCCTGGGTGCTAGATCTTTAAGGAATAAATCATTGTCAAAATCATTCCACGCATTGGGGTAAAAATATTAATTCCACCTTCATGACCAACAGTGTATTTATTCCGAAATTTATTCAGTTATCTTCCTATAGTGATTCATACTATTATCAAGTTCTCAAGACGACCCGAAAACATAATGCCTCCATCGGTGGGCGGAGGCATAAATATGTGATCTAACAGAAGTTGTAGTTCAATTGTGGACGGTAAGGGATTATTAGATGTGGTATTCACATATGTACAGGGCATATCCTATCGATTAATGTTTCTCATTGTTTGCATGTCAAATAAAGTGTTCAAATAAGAGTCAAATTGCGTCCCGGAGATCCGATGGCAGATGTGAGGCAAATGATGGATTTTTGGCATGCGAATTGCCAGTGTCGGATGGTAGTTGGTGGCTCTATGCTTAAGTCAAACTCAACCTAGGAAAACGAGTACTGCCGGCAAATGGTCGGAAAACAGCGAACAATGCAAATTCAATTTTCAACAATTCACCGAAAATTTGATGGAAAATTCACTTAACCCTAAAAAGGCCGGGCTATTTTAGGTCTTAATACGACCGGGGGGGGGGGGCATTATGGCCCCCCTAAAGATCTCGGCCGTAAAACGGCCGATCTCCGTAAAAATTTGCACGCATGTCAAGTGAAGTGTATGGAACAAAACAGTTATTTCAATTTTTTGAAAAATTCACGCATTTGCATATTTATAGTAATTTATGCAAATAAGGTCATAAAATCATATTTTTACCCATAAATCATATATTATTCATATTTAAGCATTCTTTTTCACTACATATATTCATTAGACCATTTATAATAATAATACGACAAACAAAAATTGGAAGAGCCAGCTTATTTCTTTTTTTATCTCTTGTTTTGATAATTTCTTATGTATTTCATTGTTTTTCTTTAACTTTTGTATTTTAATGTGTTTGTTATTTTATTTCATTTCTTACTAAAATTCAACTAATTTGACTCCCAAAAAATTCACCTAAATATTAAACAAGACCCAATAACCAATGTTTGATCTATTTTTAGGAAAAATGACATTTCCATTTGTTTTGTACACAAATCACGAAAATGATCGATTTTCGGGCTGACATGCAAATACAAAAGGTCACGTGACCTTGTTACTGTGAGGTCCGATTTTCATTTTTTTTAAAGATGCGCAAGACTCGAAAGAAAAAAACTCAGCGACCGGCGGGGCGCCATCCATATGCGTTCCCGAACAATCAGAAAAATCGTGGAGGGGGGCCATATTGCCCCCCTCCACGGTAAAGGTACTTTGTCCCATTTGCAGGTCAAAAAAATGTGAAGGTTAATTTCCAACGGCATTTAAAAGACAATACATATTTAGATCTTCCCTCAAAACAAAATGGTTGTAAAATGGCTTTTTTGTGGGAAAATAACGACCATTAGCAATCACCTAAGTAATAGTCTGATTTACAGACACTTCTACCGAATGGTCGTAGGTTATATACTGCAAAAAGATTCAGTTTAATATTGGCCATTACAAGTAGTGAGTTATTGATGTAGACAAATGCTCATATACCTGTTACAGCTCAGTTTATATGTGTTATTACCAAAGAAAGAAAAGGGCAGCTAGTCACTCAGTGGTGTCTGACAGGGAAGTCTAGCAAGTAAACGGGTTTCCTTGCATAATTTAAATAATGGGACACTGCTAAAGTTTACATTTCACAGATAGGACATACGTGAAATATTCATAATGCCTGGAAAGTTCTACAGAATTTGATGTTGGCTGCAAACGGGACATATAACCTTTAAATTGTATCATTATGTGATAGAGGATGTCATTTATGACGAAATTCTGCAAAGATTTCCCACCAAAAATCTATTTCAAAAAAAAATATTGATTATTAAAAAGAATACATATTTTGGGGGTTCTCTGTTGTACGCAGAAAACCTAAATTTGGAATTCTTTCATCAATATTCGACTTCAAACACAATCGTTTTGAAAATCCTTGCAGACATGTGTCTCAAATTACATCCTCTTTCACATTATGCTACAATTGAACATCCACAATAAAATGTAACCCAGATCATAACTTGGATCATTCTTAAGAAGACTCGATTATTTTCCAGAGCATCTCCGCTAACGAAAGAAATCACTGCCCCTGTCGTTTGAATATGCTACCTCCCCCCCCCCCCCACACACACATACAAATCCTGTCATTCTGCATACCACTTCCGAGTCCAATAGAAGTCGGTAGGCACCGTATTAGGTCAGCACAAGTTTCTTTCATTCGAGATATATGCATAAACTGTGTAGTCTCTGCATATGCGCCAGAACATCTTTATCTTTGTTTAGGGCATTTTGTTATAAAAGCCTAGCTGCACTACATAACATCTGTATCAAAATGGATGATCATTATTGGTGCAGCTGCCTTCTTTGGACAAGTATTATATCTCGGTCTCTACAAGTAACTCGACGTAAACTCTCTTAAAATGTATTTGTTGATGTTTGCTAAATGAATTGAACGTGCATGTAGATGCATTTTCATACTTTATAAAAGTCTTGATTATTTCACGAAATGGTTAAATTTATGGCTGGCCGTTAACGAATAGGGCGTATGCATATGTGAGGACCTTCACAAGACATGCATGAAGCAGTGGTCCATATTCACTACTGAGGGAGCAGAGTAACATGTAAAACAAGCCATTATGATTAAATAAGAATTATTAACGCGTGAACTAAACACTTCAAAGTATAAAATGATAAATGTCGTGCAGTCAAACTAAAATGACATGATTCATAGGCATATTTTTTTGAGTGGGCTCTAGGTCGTCACCTGTATTACAGTGCCAGTGGAGATTTTAAAATGCACGTCTGTACTAAATTACTTCCAATATTGTTTTGTGGTATTCGTATAATTTTCGGAATTGTATCGGTCTCTTAAATTTACCTTCTTCTCTGCATACCACACCAACGTCTTCGGAATGCCCACAGTTATGAATCTCATAGCCGTCATGTGTGCAATGTGCGATGTGCGTTTCTGACCCATCACATCCGACGTTGTCGAGAATGATATCACCTGTGGCTTCTCCGAAGCTCACCAATGCAGAAGAGACTCCAGGATAACCCAGCATTCGACAAACAACGGTAGCGTCGTTGATATCCCACGAGTCATTACAGATTGTACCCCATGATCCTTGGTAGTTCACCTCGACTCGCCCTTCATTGGCTGAAGCCCCGTCAACAAGACGCACAGGAACTGATACAAAGGAAATAATGTTATAAATGTGGTCTGAATGTATGCCAGAATGATCAGAAATCGATGTAGAACGACACGAAATTAAAGAGAAAAAAAGGTAGACAAATAATTTTTGAAAAAAGTTGTTATCACGTATATAAGCACTTGAAATTGGTTGAATCGGTAACGTAACTTTACATACATACATACATTGCGTTGTGAAGCGATCAGTCTTATCCGCAAGACCACTTTGCCTCACTGCTACTAAGTGGCTCACTTCTTGGTCTTATAGCACTTTCTGCATGTTAACGACTTTAATATGTTGATTTATACGTAGCGTAAGACAATTTCCCATTCGTAAAATGTCAGTTTCTCAACATGTACGTCTCAGAAGGTCTTTTCTTTTTAGAGAACCTAAAATAAAAGGCTGTTCTTAAAGGTAAAGACCAGTTTTGGAAACGCCCCCCCCCCCCCCTCTCCAAAAATAATCTGGAGGCCCTTATTACCAATCATGTGAAAGAATATGTTTTGACTAATACGTAATGATACATTTTGCCGAGAAACCGCCTACTAATTGATATATTAGATAGAATATTATATCTATTTTGACCTGACAGATATTGCGCACGTGTCGCGTAGTCCAATAATATCTGTCTGTGTACAGTGCTTGTAACTTTACCAAGACTGGGTCAAATTTCTTATCATTTCGATGATTCCGGAACCTTGCAGTACACACCAATACTTATATGCTAGATGGTCAACCTTTTCTGATCGATTCCACAACGTTTCTTTCACAATGCAATCACATGACTAGAACTGGTCTTTATCTTTAATACATTTTGAGTAGAGCCTCGAGGGAAAAGGCACCGAGGAGAAATACAAAATTAATGACCACGGACTACGTCACAAACCGCTGACCAAATTGCCAATTAGAGATTTGCCTGTTTAGTGATCTCAGTTTTCAAACAGCCATAATCTCCCTTACTATTGGTCCAATTTATTTCAAACTTTCACAATTCTGGGTTTTTTGTTTCCGACTTTCATACAACTAAGCTTATTTCAAAGGATAGTTTTGCCCTTTAAGCCTAAGCCATACGAGACATACAACTGGTTGTCGACTTCTGACAACGCCCATGCCCCCCCCCCCAAAAAAAAGGCAAAACTATTGACAAGTAATTTGCAAGACTCTATAGTAAGCGATCAGTGGGTTGCCGAATGTCGTACGAAAATCATCCAATCCTCAAATATTTCCGTAAATTAAGTTGCGACCGCTTGTAGAAATGGTTGCCAGTTGATAGGCGAATGACTGCCGATAAAAACGGGTTGGGGATCAATGGCCGATGTTCTTACGACGATCGGCAAGCTTTACGCAGAGAGAGGCGTAGAATCGCTAACGCAACAATGCATAAGAAAATTACATTTCTAGACCTCAACCCGACTTACTCTGCTGCTGATCCCGTCTCGCAAATAGGCGAAAAAAATTGCAGGCAAAAGAAAAATGGAAAGCGATTAGGCAAATGAAGAAATGAGAGAGGGAAGAAGGAATATGGAGTATTGTAAAGCAACACAAAGGCTACCATACAAAGTAGAGTTCAGAGGCGATGCTGTGGGGGTGGGGGTACTTTTTCAGGTTCTGCCAAAGTGCCTCTTTTTACATATGAAAAGTCCCCATTTCCCTTTGTAAGTACTGCCCCTTCCCCCTTCTAAGAAGTGCCCCTTTCCTTGTTCATAAGATCCCTATCACTTGTTCCCTTTTCAGGTCCCTTTTCACCTCTGATAAATGTCCCTATTAATATGTGATAATTGCCCCTTTTCCTGCGACAACTGGCCCTGTACATTAGTAATACGTGTTCCTTTTCGATTCTTATCAATGCCTTTTTTTCATCTCTGGTAGGTGCCGCTTTTCCTTTTCCCTTTACAACGTCTGATAAGTGCCCTCTCATCTTTTGTAAATGCCACTATTCAAATCTGAGAGGAACACATTTTACTCAGACAAGTGCCCCTTTTTACTTTGTAATAATTGCCCCCTACCCTTTCTGATAATTACTCTTTTTCTTCTTTGATTAGTGCCCCTGTTCACCTCTGATAAGTGCCTCTTTTATTTTGACACCTACCCTCTTTCCTTTCTAAAAAGTGCCATTTTTCCTTCTCATAAGTGTCCCTTTTCCTTCTCATAAATGCACGTTTTTTTACCCACAAAAATTGCCGCTAACAAAATCTGACTTGTTCCCCTTTTCTTGAATAAACCTCTTTTCCTGTTTAACTTTGATAATTTGCCATTTTGTTTGTACTTTGCTCCTTCTCCTTTATAAAAAATGCACTCTTTCATTCTGTATAAGTGCCCTTTTCCCTTTGTAATACGAATCACTTCCTTTCTCTTAAATTTGACTTTTCACCTCTAATAAGTGCTCCTTTATGTTGATACGCGCCCCTTTTCCTTTTCTAAATGCCCACTTTTACATCTGATGAGTGTCCCTATTAAAATCCGATTTGTGCCATTTGTCTTTAACAAAAGCCCCATTTCCATTCTCACAAGTTTCCTTCTGATAAGTGGATAAGTGCCCATTTACGTTTTTTTATAAGAGCCCCGTTCCCTCTAGTTTTAAATGCCAAATTTTTACAAGAGATAAATGCCCCTATTAGAATTTGATAGGTGCCCTTTACCTTCAACACGTCCTTTCTATTCTCACAAAGTGCCCTTTTTTATCTGTTGAGTGTCCCTTTTCAGGTGCAAGAAGAGGCCCACTTTCACCTCTCATAATTGCCCTCTTTATTTTGACACCTGCACCTTTCCTTTTCAAATAATTGTCCTTTTCCCTTTTGATAAGTGCCAAATTTTCCTTTGTCCATTCATGCAACCCTAATTTAAAGCGACTTATGCCCCCTTTTTTAAATTTTCCTAGACATCGCTCGCTACAGTGGAAAATGTGCACACATTGTGTGCGGGTAAGCCTGAATCCGATGACCGGGGTAATAATATATCTGTAAAGCGCTTAGGTACATCGTTGGATCGGTGTGATGAGCGCTATATAAAAAACCGGATTATTATTATTATTATTATCAGGTTTTTTTTTTGTCCTGTTTATAAGATGTTTTTTTTTCGCAGTGTGAACTCACAAATCTTTATTTTGTTTTAGCTCGCTCGCTTCGCTCACTCGAATATCAATAATCAAACCATCACACCCGACTAGAAAGTATGGTGCTTAAGCAATATCTTGTGCCAATTAAAAAGAGAATCAAATATTGATGTCATCCTTGGTAGTGTAATCACATCCATGCCGATTTAGGGGTATTTACCAATGTCTAAAAATGGTGTATATTCACTGTGAGGTTTCCCTTTAAAGGTGCCCCTTTTTCCAGAAAGTGTCCTTTTTTGCTGCCCCCCTTCCCCACATACACACAACTTTGGAAGAAGCTCCTGCCGCCCCTGGTACGCTTTGTTAATACTTTTGAATTCTAATAAAGGTCTAATTATCTGTTGGCCAATCGAAACATATTAGCTAATTGCACTTCGCAAAGTTGTGTACATGTACTTTGTTTAAAAAAAACCCTAGTATTGTTTAAAACTAGCTTCCCGCATTTTTCTCATTGTATGTGCTTGGTTAAGGTATTGTTTACATTAGAGTACGGAAGCTGTGACATCATAAAAATCTATTTTTGGACTTTCTCAATCTTTTTCTTTATTTTCCAAAAGAGCATCAAGAATATTTCCGAATGCCGAAAACCAATTGAATATGTTAAGTATTGGCCGAGATATGACCATCTGAATAAATAGATGTCCTATAGGAACTCAAGGTTAATTGCTCTGGCTCGTAATATTTAACCAGAGCAATATAACACTGAGTTCCTATAGGGATTTTTTTTTGATGACGTCACGCTTCACCACTCTATAAAGACATATGGCCAGGGTGGTAGACCAAGAGAGTAAACCTCGCGTCGAGCTATAAACAGAATTTCACGAGCCGGCATCACAAGCAAAATATTGCCAAAGCAAGTGCTAGTTCCCCTATGTAAGGTCTAGGGTTTTAGGCATTTAATTACGGTCAGATGAGCATCCAGGGCCCCGCCTTAGGGCCCTTAATTGGTGGGGTCCAAGGGGCAGAGCCCCCGAAGCTCAGGGGTTTTAGTTATTTAATAACGGTCAGATGAGCATACAGGGGACTGCCTTAAGGCACTTGATGGGGTCCGGGGGCGGAGCCCCCGTAAGCTCTGAGGTTTTAGGCATTTAATTACGGTCAGATTAGCATCCAGGCCCCCCCCCCCTTTGGGCCCTTAATTGGTGGGGTCCAGGGGACAGAGTACCCGGAAGCTCAGGGGTTTTAGGTATTTAATAACGGTCAGATGAGCATACAGGGGACCGCCTTAGGGCCCTTGGTTGGGTGCGGGGGCGGAGCCCCCGTAAGCTCTGGGGTTTTCGGCATTTAATTACGGTCAGATGAGCATATTTTGATACCTCATTTGTGACTTTGGCAGGTCACCCATTTTTTCTTTCTCTCTTTCTTTCTTTTTCTCTGTAACAAACTTTTTCAAAAAGTGAGGTCGAGCCCCCGAGCCCGGCTGTTCTGCATACTCTGACATAAAGGCTTCTAAATAAGCATATTTTTCGCCCGACTGTTAATTGGGGAATTTCAAATTTTCCAACAAACGCATAAAAAGGTATGACTTACAACAAAATTGAAAAAAAATACCGGAAATCATGTCATTTCAATCTTGTAAATCACTGGTATCGAATAAAAATTACCCCCCCCCCCTCCCCGCATCAGTACGCCAGCGTTCAGGGGCTCATGAGCTTCTCACCCCTATAACAAAAAATAGACACGCTTTCCCATTCTCTCACAATATGTCCACGATATGCGCGTATCGCTATTATTGAAACCTCCATTGATAAATATAGGTAGCATGCGCAATGTTTAGGAAATTTAATTCCTGTCAACTTTCCTTTTCTTTGAATAGAATTTTATACGTCATTTAAGTCAGGTTTTTATTATTGTTATGTTTTTGGGGGTTAAAAATATAAAATACAAACCATCTTAACTCTTTTACTCCTTTTTTTTTGAGGGGGTGGGGGCGTTTTTTTTTTTTTGGTTTTTTTTTTTTTTTTTTTTTTTTTTTTTTTTTTTTTTTTTTTTTTTTTTTTTTTTGGGGGGGGGGGGGGGGGGGGGGGGGGGGGGGCAAAAATGCGTTTTGCCCCCCCCCCCACTTTTTTGACTGGGGGGAAACTGCCCCCCTGCCCCCCCCCCCCCCCCCCCAACCCCCCCCCCCCCCCCCCCCCCCCCCCCCCCCCCCCCCCCCCCCCCCCCCCCCCCCCACTTTCGGCGCCTATGTAGATAGTAGTACTATCTACACAGGGCAACGCACTTTCACTGAAGATGGAAGTCTTATCTACACAGGGCAACGCACTTTAATTGTATACGCTGCGTATTGCTCTCCTCTTTACGCGCTTTTAGTGTTAGTACATGAACTTTCGTCACGCGCGAACAATAATATGGTCACACCACTATACTGCATACACTGTACGTATCGTAAACTGTTTGCTAGCTTTTAATTGATGACTTGTTGCTCTAAAATGACGGAAAAAGTGCCAAATGTTTCCGATGTAGAATATAAAGCAAATAATCACCTTTTGGTTTCAGGCGATGGCAAACTATCACTTCCTCGGCAATCAAAATGTATATGCTATCTTTACTCAGCTTCGCTTCGGAAAGATAGCTACATCCAGATCGCCTCGGAAGTGATAGTTTGTCCCACGACTCCAATTTCGACCAATAAGATGGCTGGATTCCTTAAGTGAGGTATATAATGTTATTTATATCCTGCATACAAAAATTATTGGTTTTTGATTGGTTGAGAGCTCGTCACGTGACTAGAAATATGTTAACTATTTCAATGGTGCTTTGAAAAACTTGAGTATTATTTGGAAGTACTATTTGGGAGTTCAATTTTTTTTTTTTTTCATTCTTTTTTTAATAAAGAATATTATTTTTCTAATTTTTAAATTTTGATAAGAATTTTCCCCAAAATTGTATTTTTTTTTTGATGTAGGATATAAAAACAAATATACCATGCCTTCTTTCCGAGGTACTGGTTACAACTATAGGCCTTGGTGACTCCAATAGTATACAAATATACACTGTCTTGAAAGCTGTTCTGGTTAAAAATATGTGCAAGAGGTGACTCCAATAGTACTATTTGCTTGAGGGGCGTAGCCTCGAAGCAAATGGTACCGACGGAGTCACCAAGGCCCATAGTTTTAACCAGTACCTCGAAATGAAGACATGGTAAATTTTTTTTTATATCCTGCATCAAAAATTTATCTGGAAACAAAAATGAAAAATTACAATTGTTATAAAAAAAAACTATTGAAAATTAAAACAATTATTAGTATTTTTTTTTTTAAATATAGGATTTCCCGGCCAAATTCGCGAGTTTGTCATTCGAATTCATTTACTTTGCATTTAAGTTAGCGCAGATCAGCTTTGCCATGCCAATTATCATTCAATTTTCCCGATTTTGTATTTAATTTAGGATTTTGGTCGAAGGATTTCTTTAAGTGCACAAACTGCTAATTTGAATGCTACAAATGAATTAGAATAGTAAAAGTACACCGTCGCGATGTCAGAAAATCGTGTTGCGCTAAATCGAATGACCAAATAGCGAAAGAAGCAATTTGTTCATTAATTGGAATGAAACATACATAGATTCTAACGAAAACTTCATAGATTTAAAATCTAGAAAAAGGAATATAAACCCGAGATATACCCGACAGCACTAAAACCGTCGAATTTGAACGCAAGACAAATGAATTTGAATGGTCGGGAAATCCTATATAAGAATAAAATAAAATAATAATACTATCATATAGTACTTCTACTCCCAAATATTACTCCCAAATTGTACTTTTTCAGAGCAACCTTAAAATAGTTGAAATATTTCTGGTCACGTGACGAGCTCTCAACCAATCAAATTTGTTGCAGGATATAATACCCTTAGCTTCGGGGCTGCGTCCTTCAGCAAATAGTACTATAGGAGTCACCTCTTGCGCATAGTTTTAACCAGAACCGCTCTCAAGACATTGCATATTTGTATATTACATGCAGTTTTTGAGCATAAATGCCCCACAAAAGGGCACTCAGCACATCGACACGGTTTTGATCCTGGGGCCTCACAGTTACGAAGCCATTGCTTACATGAAAATATATTGGCATGTGGTACAGTGAACATATCCATTGTTAACTTCACGCGCAACCACTCCGTCCTCGTGTTGCATAATGCGCGCATGTAGAGCTATGCCAAATAGATATATTTTGTTATATCCTGCCTCAAAAATGTATTGAAATTTTGATGAGTTAAAAGTTTGTCACATGATCAAAAATAAACACACTTTTTCCCCAAGGCGTAGTTTAGACCAATACGAGACCTAGAATCTTCATATGGGTACAAAGAATGACAAGTTTCACTCAGAATCAATACCATCCCCTTCCTCCGACATAGTCAAACACCCTCGAAAATGAAATTTATTGAGTTACCGGTGCCGACACACGTGACCCCGGCATCTGCAGCATGCCCACAGTTGTGAGTAAGGTAACCTCTGTGGTGACAGAAAGCGATGTTCGACTCAGATCCCTCGCAATTCACATCATCCAGGATAATTTCCCCTGTGCCTTCGCCAAAGTTTGCGCCGTGGTAATAAGCCGAAGCACGTGGATATCCCAGTGTGTGACAAACGACGTGGGCGTCATCTAAATCCCAGCCGTCGTCACAAACTGTACCCCATGCACCTTGGTAGTAAACCTCAACTCTCCCTTCAAAGGATCCACTAATTCCTCCAACCAAACGGGTCCTCAGAGGTTCTGTATTGATTAAACAATAAACATTAACATTAGCGTGTGCAGCATCAAATGATCATCTTTAAAGATACCCCAGTCTCACCAACGAAACCTACACCAGGCCGAAAAAGGAGTAAACTTCACTCACAAGAAATTGCAAAGCCTCAAATGGCCAAGAATCTGTTGATTTGGAATCGGTCTGGCCGTGTGACTATAGTATCCAGTAGGGTCACTTTCTAGCTTGACGTCGTATGGTCAATTATGCATTATCGGACTCGTGAGTCAAAAGCAGAATTTTAAACATTGAAAGTATGAGTTGTCCTGAAATAAATAAATAATAATAATAATAATTGTGATTTTATAGCGCATAATAATCATCGAAGGTAATAGTCTCCGCGCTTTACATTTTTACATTCATACAATTTTCAATTATCACACACAAATTACATATAAGGCCTAAATTATTACATACAAATTATCGATAATTGCATTATTACATACAAATTACAAATTAAATTACATCAAATGATATTCCGCTACAACAAATAATAATTACTTTTAAAATAGATAAGTTTTGAGAGCATTCTTAAACATTGGAAGTGAGTCAATTTTTCTTAATTCTAAAGGTAGATAATTCCAGAGTACAGGAGCGGAGAATGAAAATGCTCTGTTGTCATATGTCTGTGTGTTAGTAGGCTGAACAGAAAGAAGATATCGTGAGGAGGATCTGAGGTTGCGTCTTGGTGTGTACGGATGAACAAGTTCTGATATGTAGTGTGGAGAGATGTAATTCTGAGCTTTAAAACATATGCGCTTATAAAACATAATTTAACCCTTATTGCACAGCATGCCTATATAGCGACAAATGCGTACATTTTGTACGCATTATTTAACCAGTCGAAGAGACAAGTTTCTTTATATATCCTCTAATATACCTAAACACTAACCCTTGGGGCGCAGCAGTAAGTATCTTTGCATAACGGGCTAAGACCTATTATCGCTGGCCTTGAAATATTCCTGAGTAGTATTTGTTTTTCTTCCAATTGAAGCAATGGTCATGGATTTCGTAGAATCAATATCATTAATAAGTATGTTCAAGTTTATCTCCCAGCTGGAATGTATTCCAATTTGAAGTGTCGGTGGATATTCTGTTTTGAAACCTAGTCATTTTAACAGGAGATTTACATTGCGAACAAATTTTCATATCATCGCTCACATATGTGTAACAATTGCTAAGGCAGGAGGCGCGGTGTGTCAGTGGTAGAGCAGTGGTCTTGTAACAGGGAGGTCCAGGGTTCGAAACTAAATCAATACGTTTGTGCACTTTGGTAAGGCATTAATCCTCTTTAACAAGTCCCTCGGAGAGGACCTAGAGCCATCGGTCCCTTGGTTGTTTATTAACAAATATACACATGCTTTCTTAGCAGTCAGGGAGAAAAAAAAGATAAATCAACAATTATAAGCAAGTCTTTTTGCAATGTTCTTGTTGATTTAGAGCGCCCCCTTGATTGTTTCAATGGAATACCTTCTAAATTTCGGACATTAACTTTTTTAAAGACTTCACTGTTTATGTTTCGTCTTTACCACGGCGAATCTCCTCCAGCCCTTACTAACCCTTTTTAAATAATACAAATACGTACATTTTTATCCAATTAGACCATCAAATATATTTCTCCAATCCAATTCCAAAACTGATACGGCACATAAATCAATTATACATAGTGGCCAAGACGTATGGATTATTCCCTGCCTTTGGATCAAACGAATATTCCCTCAGAGTTTTCATTCAAAGCAGCTGTGAAAAGAAACCTGCTCTCCCATATTTTGTTCTATCGTGAATGCGTATGTCTTCTTTAATATCAACAATATGTACAATCACCTGTAACTCCTTCTCACTTCATTCCCCCCCCCCCTCCTGAGGACAATTAGCCAAACCCTTTCGAATTACCCCCCCCCCCCATTAAATTTATTAAAGGCATCGTTTAACAATGTTAAATCTGAGATGCATGGCCCTACCCCTACGTGTTATCAGTGTCTGTGATATGGTGTAATATTGAAGCCCTAAAATAATTGCGCTTCAAAATTATAATGAAGTGCTTCAAAAAAGTAAAAAACTTTGACGGACCAGTTTTACCATAATCATTTTCCCCAATAGACTGTAGTGTTATAAAAACCATTAAAGGGCAAGTTCACTCCAGAAATAACTTACTTTCAATAGAAGCCGATAATATAAATGTCCTGTTTTCCCCCTAAGAATCTTATTTCTTCACACCAGCATCAAAGCTAGATTGATAGTATAGGTTTTCCCGGCCAATTTCGTAAAAGCAGCAATCCATTTCATTAACGTGCATTCATGTTCGAGCAAATTTTTCTCCACTCGTTGCTCCCCTGTTTCATTTTTAAACTTGTTGCTTTCAATTTCGTTTCGAGTCACTGAATTTTCTAAACATTCAAATTCAAGCTTGGTTCAATCAATTTGGAAATGCGTAAGGGTCATTCAATTTCGCCAATGTTGAGTGGGAGGTGAATTCTTTGGCGAATTGCGGTTTTATTTTCGTCTATGGGCAACCTCTTTCGCAATCGGGTCATTCAAATTAAAACTAGACCTCATAATCATAATATGAGGGGATTAGATCTCTTGCGCACCAACGATGATGTGACTAAAGTCAGCGCCTTAGACCGCTCGGCTATCGCGCACTGTTACCATATTTAGTAGTTTTCTCTGATTTATACATTAAAATGGATTGAAAACGGCTTCGCGTGCTGGATACTTCGCGGCAGCTCCATTAAACGGGCCCTTCTTTTACTTTTTCGATGCATTGGCACGAACTTAGATCAAAATCTATCGGCAGATGTTGTTTTAGGAAGTTTATTTTCGTCTTCATGTCAACAATGCAAGAAAAAATTGTCGGTAAGATCGATCGAGATTCAATTGTATTGAAATTACCGACCAATTCATCGCACACGTACGGTATCCTCGCTCGCTCAGACCATTTTTTAACATGTCAACCTATGGGTATTTCACCAAGACTGAACTATTTTCCCGGTAACCATGGTTACTGGGATTTTAGAACTATTTTTTAGAATTATTACATGGGTTTGGAATTTTAAAGGAATAGTTAAAGTTTATGAATGCAATTTCGACCAATCAGATGGCTGGATTTCTTTAATGAGGTATACATGTATAATATTAGGCCAAGATCATTAGTTTTAACATGGAAATTTTTGGTAACAAGCTGATTTTTTCAGGATAGGTCCAGGAATATGTCTAGAATAACATACTAAAAGTCCTCATAAATCCTCCTTGAGCGTTTTCCGCAATCCAAGATGGCGTCCAAAATGGCCGCCATGTCCTGAATTTCTTCTAACTTTGCAACGAGAAAACCCAAATACCAAATTTAAATGTCTAAATATATGTTTTTCAGCATAAGGAACTCAACCAAATAGTTATTAACAAATTTTGAAACACAAGGAGCAGTAAAACCACTTGAGCCCTTCCCGAAATCCAAAATGGCACCCAAAATGGCCATTATTTCCAAATTTATCTCATTGTAAGTAGATACGTAATGAATATAATCAAATGTCTAGACTAGAAAAGCACCATTGAAATACATATCAGTGCAACAATCTTTTAATTAAAAAATACTTCTTATGCATAAAGTACACACACACACACACCCACATACACATATGGCTGCTTCCATCATCCTCAACGATATCAGACTGACAGTGTGCAACCGTGAAGAGTACTCAACATTAGATGGAACTGAAAATGTAGACACATTAGTACCAAGGTCGCTAAAGCTTTTTATACATAATGACTGTGAGAGGTGCGGTATGGATTTTTTAACTTTTTAACTGAAAGAACTGCGACCAATTGCCCGTTTAATTGTATGCTGTGACGGTAGTCATCAAGAACTGCTGGCCCCATAAAGGCTTTCCCGGCTCTTTTTTTACCTCGTCATGGGTGCTTCCACTGCGAATGTATCAAGCAAGCCATAGTCAAGTTTCTTGTGGACCATATTGAAAGTTTTACGACTGCCCTGACGGTAGATTGCAGAGACCGTATCACACCCTGTCACAGCTTAAAGAAACATCAGGCAATTTCTAGTGTCCCCTATGGCGTGCTGAATTTCATGAATGTTGAAGAACGTGACAGGATTCTGCGGCATAGCATGTGCATATCTGTGGAAGTGGTTGCCGAAGCAACTATAGCATGACCAGTAAATCTGTGTCCTTACCAACGACAACAACGGGCACCTGTTCTGACTCTGCTACTGCTTGTGCTGCAGAGACAATCAGGTTAGTGGCATCCGTTTCTGTCTGCTCGATACCGGTACGTATTTTGTCACGTAGAGTTTGTATAAGTCTCATCTTATTGTTGCTGTTGGCAAGGAAAGCTGTTTTGGGTTGTGCTTGTTGGCATATAATATATTATCATCAAATAAAGAGGTACATCTTTGGGCTATTCGTCTCTGCTCAGCTACCTTTGTCGAAGTTGCACTTCCATATCCATCGAACACCACCTTCAAATGAGCTCCATAATGCTTAAGGGTGCAGTAGGCGACCACCATCTTAAACAAAGAGACCATTTCTGGCACGTTGGCTTCTTTGTTGGCTTCCGCATCACCCCACCTTTGAAAGGGAATGTGCGTGGGAATATATTCATAAGCAAAGACCGATTCCATCTCAGTGTTGTTATTCAGGACACATGTTATTCTGTTAAACAGTAGTGTTGGGTTGACTTATGTGCTTTGTCCCCTGATTTTCACTCTCTTACTCTTGGCACCAATGGTCTTCACCTTGTCCTTACGATGTACGTAGCTTGAATTCTGTAAACCATGCATTCGTTTCGGATGCCGCTACTAGGCCAATTTATACAGGTTAATCACAATTAACAGATAAGCCAGTGACGATGCCAGTTGACAAGGAGACCAGGCAATTGGTTTCGTATCAAGCAAATGGTGATGTGCCTGCAGCCATCCAACAAAGATACATTTTTCTTTATTGTCTCTTGACCTGCTGTATGTCTTTATGCTGCTCTGGTGTACAAGTGTGTACTCCGGTGAACTGTTCCAGTTCATCACAGGTAGGAACACAGTGAGGAAGTGCATGAACCCACTTTAATAGCCAATGTACTGTCTGTGATTCCACGTCCACGAGTCATATCTCTAGATGTTTTCAGCTGCCGCATCAGGAACTTTTCAATGGTCTGATCAGAGAAGTTTCCACCCCAGAATGAATCCACACGGCGGATGGTGAAGTATCCCATTTCTGCAAATTGTGTATATTCATTTCCTGGCATGGTTCGCTCCCGAGCTACCAACTGTTGTAAAAACAACCTGGCATATTTGAACTAGGGAAGATTTCCTGCAGCATGGAAATGTTGTATCATTTCCCTCACACAGCTGAGATGGAGCTTCCAGTCCCCTGTCCTTTCAGCTGGAATGAAACCTTGCAGAAGAGACACATAAATGTCGGATTTACTGCAACCAAAATTTCCCTGTCCTACTGTGTCCTGCTGCCCGGTCAACGAGTTGTGAAATGATCTGACTTTAACTGTTTGACACACTCTTCTCAGGTACAGCAGTCACCTTCTTGTCCTGGTTGAGGAGTGCACGATACAGATTCGCCAAGTGGTCCTTATATATGCTGTCTAAGACGCCAGGTTTACCCATCAACACGCCAATGAGGGCAGCTGATGTAAGAATGTGAGCACGAAGAGAAGGGGAAATGCATGACCAGTTATTGCATATGTATGACAGACCCTTTGGCGTACACTGTCTCCCATAGCTCTACAAGCATACTTCTGCCCATGACGTGGACTATTATGCTGCCGAGATATGACATGAGGAGGTGAAATCCACCAAAACGGACGATTACTTTTCCTAGGTCTTGAGAAGAAGCTAAAATCTCTGCTGCCTTGATGTACGAGGGCTGGTTAAATGTTACTGCACATATTCTTAAGTTATATGTTTTTCACATTTATGACTGTGCAAAGTATAGTGCCGTGTAGATAGTACTCGGATTGGAGGGGTCTAAATTTATGATGGGCAGAGTTTCAATTCTCGTACTGGTCACTCTGCATGGCCACTTTCATGAAACCAATCCATGAAGGACAAAGCTCATATTGCTCAGCTCAAGATGTATATCTGTTCACGTGAGCCACACTTCGGTGTTTATACGAAGCCATTCCAACAATATTGGCGACAGAAATGACCTGGTCTACTAGCAGAGATGACATGGCTATTGAGGTGCATTTCCTGTTTGAAACCTTTTGACTTTTGCCTTTGCGACAGTAATTGGTACTAATGTGTCTCCATTTTCAGTTCCATCTAACATTGAGTACTCTTCACGGTTTGCACACTGTCAGTCTGATGGAAGCAGCCATATGTGTGCATGTGTGTGTGGGTGGGTGGGTGGGTGTGTATACATTATGTATAAGAAATATTTAATTATTTAATGAAAGGTTTATTTGTACTGACATGTATTACAATAGTGCTTTTCTAGTACAGACATTTGATTGTATTCATAACACACCTACTTTAATACAGTGAGATAAATTCGAAATAATGGCTATTTTGGACGCCATTTTGGATTTCGGAAAGGGCTCAAGTGGTTTTACTGCCACTTGTGTGTTTCAAAATTTATTGATAAGTATTTTGTTGAGTTGCTTATGCTGAAAAACATATATTTAGAAATTTAAATTTGGTATTTGGGTTATCTAGTTGCACAGTTATAAGAAATTCAGGAAATGGCAGCAATTTTGGGCGCCATTTTGGATTTCGGGAAGGGCTAAAGTGGTTTATAGCTACTTGTGTGTTTCAAAATTTATCAACAAGTATTTTATTGAGTTCCTTATGCTAAAAAACATATATTTAGACATTTAAATTTTGTATTTGGGTTATCTAGTTGCAAAGTTATTAAAAAATCAGGAAATGGCGGCCATTTTGGACGCCATCTTGGATTACGGAAAACGCTCAAGGAGGATATACGAGGACTTTTAGTATGTTATTCTAGACATATTCCTGGAGCTATACTGAAAAAATCAGCTTGTTACCAAAAATTTCCAGGTTTAAGCCTATTTTGACCTAATGCTCTTGGCCTATATACAATATTCAGAATATAGTATCAATTCTTCAAAGTTCATAAAAGATTTTGTGAAATATAATGCACGCAATATTATACAAATCATATAACCTGCGCAAAGGCATGGGGAAATAATAATAATAATTATAATAGCTCGTTCTTATATAGCGTTTTTCAGGACCGGAAGCCCTCACAAAGCGCTTTACTGATAAGTATATTATTACCCCGGTCATTGGATTCAGGCTTACCTGCACACAATGTATGCACACCAAGTTTTGGGGATAAAAAGTGAAAGTAATGTAATTAAAATACATAAAGCAATTGATAAATAGGAGGTCATGACGTCACCAACTGATATTCAAATTCGCAATTTGTGTAGTGATTTCTATTGTTCCATGGTTTTACATACTTTTTCAAAAATCCATAACTTTCTTATTAATTATCCGATTTGGCTAAAACTTTTTTTTATTAAGTTGTCTGATTTTTCTGCTTCTATAGTAAGTAAGTTATTTATGGAGTGGACTTGCCCTTAAAGAAAACGAAAAACAACATTTTGATGTCCAATCCTTAATATCTTGATAATCAGAAAGGTGATCGGCTTGTAAAAGCCATGGGATCCCTGACTGACCTAAAGGTTTATAATTATGATTATAGCATGTGCTAAATCCAGATTTTTTTTCTTCAGAATCTGAGGCAATGTTACTGAGTCACTTTATTAAAGGGGAAGTCTACCGTGACTCTAGGTTGGTTTTGATAAAGCATAATATTTTATCCAGGGGGGGGGGGGGGTAATTGTCCTCGGAAGGGGATGAGGTTGTCCAAGGGAGTAATTTCTAGGGAGGGATAACTGTCCTCGGAGGTCGGGGCTACTTTTCTGAGGATAATTTTCCAGGTGTCGATTATCCAGGGCGTAATTGTCCCGATACGTTCCTATGGGTATATAGAATCAATACCATCCCCACCCCCAATATACACACATACCCTCGAAAAAGAAATGTATACAGTTACCAATGCCGTCACACGTGACCCCGGCATCTTCAGCATGCCCACAGTTGTGGGTTAGGTAAGCTCTGTGTTGACAGAAAGCGATGTTTGACTCAGATCCCTCGCAAGTCACATCATCCAGCATAATTTCCCCTGTGCCTTCGCCAAAGTTTGCGTTGGTGTTATAAGCAGAAGCACGTGGATATCCCAGTGTGTGACAAACGACGTGGGCGTCATCTAAATCCCAACCGTCGTCACAAACTGTACCCCATGCACCTTGGTAGTAAACCTCAACTCTCCCTTCAAAGGATCCACTTCCACCAACCAAACGGGTCCTCAGAGGTTCTGTATTGATTAAACAATAAACATTAACATTAGCATTTCATTCAAATGATCATCTTTAAAAATACCCCAGTCTCACCAACGAAACCTACGCCAGGCCGAAAAAGGAGTAAACTTCACTCACAAGAAATTGCAAAGCCTCAAATGGCCAAGAATCTGTTGATTTGGAATCGGTTTGGCCGTGTGACTATAGTATCCAGTAGGGTCACATTCAAGCTTGACGTCGTATGGTCACTTGATATGCATTATCGGACTCGTGAGTCAAAAGCAGGATTTTAAACATTGAAAGTATGAGTTGTCCTGTAATAAATAATAAATAACAATAATAATTGTGATTTATATAGCGCATAATAATCATCGAAGGTAATAGTCTCCGCGCTTTACATTTTTACATTCATACAATTTTCAATTATCACACACAAATTACATATAAGGCCTAAATTATTACATACAAATTATCGATAATTGCATTATTACATACAAATTACAAATTAAATTACATCAAATGATATTCCGCTACAACAAATAATAATTACTTTTAAAATAGATAAGTTTTGAGAGCAGTCTTAAACATTGGAAGTGAGTCAATTTTTCTTAATTCTAAAGGTAGATAATTCCAGAGTACAGGAGCGGAGAATGAAAATGCTCTGTTGTCATATGTCTGTGTGTTAGTAGGCTGAACAGAAAGAAGATATTGTGAGGAGGATCTGAGGTTGCGTCTTGGTGTGTACGGATGAACAAGTTCTGATATGTAGTGTAGAGAGATGTAATTCTGAGCTTTAAAACATATGTGCTTATAAAACATAATTTAACCCTTATTGCACAGCATGCCTATATAGCGACAAAGGCGTACATTTTGTACGCATTATTTAACCAGTCGAAGAGACAAGTTTCTTAATACAGCCTCTAATATACCTAAACCCTAACCTTAGGGGCACAGCAGTAAGCATCCATGCATAACGGGCGAAAACCTATTATCGCTGCCCTTGAAATATTCCTGAGTATTTGTTTTTCTTCCAATTGAAGCAATGGTCATGGATTTTCGTAGAATCAATATCATTAATAAGTATGTTCATATTTATCTCCCAGCTGGAATGAATCACAATTTGAAGTGTCGGTGGATATTCTGTTTTCAAACCTAATCATTTTAACAGGAGATTTACATTGCGAACAAATGTTCATATCATCGCTCACATATTTGTAACAATTGCTAAGGCAGGAGGCGCGGTGTGTCAGTGGTAGAGCAGTGGTCTTGTAACAGGGAGGTCCAGGGTTCGAAACTAAATTAATGCATTTGTGCACTTTGGTAAGGCATTAATCCTCTTTAACAAGTCCCTCGGAGAGGACCTAAAGCCATCGGTCCCTTGGTTGCTTATTAACAAGCATACACATGCTTTCTTAGCAGTCAGGGAAAGTAAAAAACTTTAACGGACCAGTTTTTCTATACTCATTTTCCCCAATAGACTGTAGTGTTATAAAAACCATTAAAGGGCAAGTCCACTCCAAAAATAACTTACTCTCAATAGAAGCCGATAATATAAAGGTCCTGTTTTCCCCATAAGAATCTTATTTCTTCACACCAGCATCCAAGTTAGATGACAGTAATATGTTTTTGTGTGGATGCACTAATATTAAGTAATTTCTGTCAGTTCATGAAAAATGTGAATTTTGTATAAAAATCAATAATCATTAATAAACAATATTCAGAATTGGTGTCAATTCTTCAAATTTCATAAAAGATTTTGTGAAATATAATGCACGCAATATTATACAAATCATATAACCTGCGCAAAGGCATGGGGAAATCGAGTTTTGGGGGATAAAAAGTGAAAGTAATGTAATTAAAATACATTAAGCAATTGATAAATAGGAGGTCATGACGTCACAAACTGATATTCAAATTGGCAATTTGTGTAGTGATTTATATTGTTCCCATGGTTTTACATCCTTCTTCAAAAATCCATAGCTTTCTTATTAAGTTATTTATGGAGTAGACTTGCCCTTAAAGAAAGCGAAAAACAAAATGTTGATGTCCAATTCTAAATATCTTGATAATCAGAAAGGTGATCGGCTTGTAAAAGCCATGGGATCCCTGACTGACCTAAAGGTTTATAATTATGATTATAGCATGTGCTATAAAATCCAGATTTTTTTCTTCTTCAGAATCTAAGGCAATGTTACTTAGTCACTTTATTAAAGCGGAAGTGTACCGTGACTCTAGGTAGGTTTTGATAAAGCATAATATTTTTTCCAGGGGGAGGGGTAATTGTCCTCGGAAGATGGTGAGGTTGTCCAAGGGAGTAATTTCCAGGGAGGGGTAATTGTCCTCGGAGGTCGGGGCTACTTTTCTGAGGATAATTTTCCAGGTGTCGATTATCCAGGGCGTAATTGTCCCGATACGTTCCTATGGGTATATAGAATCAATACCATCCCCACCCCCAATATACACACATACCCTCGAAAACGAAATAAATACAGTTACCAATGACGCCACACGTGACCCCGGCATCTTCAGCATGCCCACAGTTGTGGGTTAGGTAACCTCTGTGATGACAGAAAGCGATGTTCGACTCAGATCCCTCGCAATTCACATCATCCAGGATAATTTCCCCTGTGCCTTCGCCAAAGTTTGCGTTGGTGTTATAAGCAGAAGCACGTGGATATCCCAGTGTGTGACAAACGACGTGGGCGTCATCTAAATCCCAACCGTCGTCACAAACTGTACCCCATGCACCTTGGTAGTAAACCTCAACTCTCCCTTCAAAGGATCCACTAATTCCTCCAACCAAACGGGTCCTCAGAGGTTCTGTTAAACAATAAACATTAACATTAGCGTGTGCAGCATCAAATGGTCATCTTTAAAAATACCCCAGTCTCACCAACGAAACCTACACCACACCGAAAAAAAGGAACGAACAAGAACTCAACGCAACGTCTTTTGTATGGTCAGATGTGAATTTATGTGATTAATTTTCGATTTTTAATTCAAATCTCTAGAGATCAACGATACAATCATTTACAATAACACAATTAGTATATTCTGCTTTGATTTTGGAGATTTACTAAAGGAATAAAGTGGGAAAGTGTTAACATTGTTGTGACTGGTCTGGTGGTCATTGTATGTGTCAGGTCATTACAGTCCCATACTTTCATCTACGGCTGGTGAAGTATACTTGAACTTATCAACTTTTGGGAGTTTCACTCCCATAAATAACATTCTACACCCATTCATGGCTTCTACTTTTGTGCATGTATATCATTATCTTACTGTATATTCACCATTCATCAACCTCATTTAAACTGATTTAGATTCTACATATTTGACTACAACTTTCAAAATGGCGCCTGGTCCAGACAAAATGGTGCCATTCATCGACGAGAGCTGATGTTACAGGCAAGATTACAACCAACCAAACCTTCCGAAGATCTATTCAGGAAAGTTCAGAAAGAGCTTGCTTCTTTGAATGACACAATTGAACAACAAGAGGGGCGTATTCTTGACCTTGAAAAGACAGTCGAGACAAAATCCAAGGAGATTGTCGCACTGTCTTCAGAGCTGTAGAATCTGAAAGGGGAGATAATGGATATGTAGAGGACGGGAAACGAGCTTGAACGATACTCAAGGTGGAATTGCATCCGGCCCTTCGGCGATCCTGAGAAGCAGGAACAGAATACGACTGATATTTCATGCGCTCTTTTATCTGACCACCTGGTCAACAGTTACAGATTAGCGCATAACTTTTTGGCGGCTCGGAGAATGGGGTCAAAGGAGAAGGGGCTTAATTCCACTCCTTCTCTATCACATCCCTGCAACAACCAACGGAAAGACAATAACGCGAGGAATCACGGAACTGTTATTAAACATGGGTTTTAGACACTTCTCAGAAAAGTGTTAGGGTGCAATAACTTATGTGTGCCTTTTTTTTCTGACATATTTTTCCCCTTCATATTCACATCAATGTTCGTTTAAGTTGGTGTTGTTGTTGCTGTTTTTTATGAGAATATGCAATGTCCCAATGTTTATTTTGTAATTTACCGTTTAGGGATAAGAGTCTTGTAGCTATCAAGATGGAGATGAAGAAGTTAGTAAAATATATGATGTTAATTCTATTAATAATATTTCTGATATTCATGTTCCAGATTTTCCAAAAACAAAAAGGAATTAAAATAGCCCATTTGAATATAAGAAGTTTGAAATATAAAGTGATAGATTTGCATGGATTCCTTTCTGATAACCCGTATGATTTGTTAAGTTTGTCAGAAAATGGGTAGATGAGAATGTTTCAGACCTAATAATACCTGTACGTGGCTAAAAAATTAAAAAGAAAGGATAGAGGAGATAAAGGTGGTGGTGTAGATTGTTATATAAAAGATAACATGAAATACATTAGAATGTCAGATTTACCCCAGTCGTAAAAAAATAGGAAAAAAATAGGGGAAAAACAGGGAAAAAATAGTCCCGAAAATATATTTTTTTTCTATTTTTTCCCTATTTTTTTAAAAGGAAAAAATAGGGAAAAAATAGTTTTGGAAATAGGAAAAAAATAGGTTTGAAACAATTTTTTCTATTTTTTTCCTATTTTTTTCCTATTTTTCAGACGTGAAAATAGGAAATAAATAGGAAAAAAATAGTGTAGAAAAAAGTGAAGAAAATAGTAAAAAAAATAGTGATAACTAGGTGCTTAGTGAACAGTGAAAAATAGTGAGGAAATAGGAAAAAAATAGTGAGAAAATAGGAAAAAAAATAGTAAGAAAATAGTAAGAAAATAGGGAAAAATAGTAAGAAAATAGGAAAAAAATAGTAAGAAAATAGGAAAAAAATAGTAAGAAAAAAGTAAGAAAATAGTAAGAAAATAGGAAAAAATAGTAAGGAAATAGGAAAAAAATAGTAAGAAAATAGGAAAAAAATAGTAAGAAAATAGGGGAAAATAGTAAGAAAATAGGAAAAAAAATAGTGAGGAAATAGGGGGGGGGGGATCACTCATCCTTTACTTTCATGGATTTCTCAAGCACTACCATCTCACACATCCAGTCAATGACTCTGTACATTCAACTAAATCATACAGTGCAAACTTGATATAAAGAGATCAGTTATACCTGAAATGACAAGGTAATTTACCAGCTTTTGGGGGTTAAGATTTCTTGGTTGCACATGACCTCATTGTCAAAAGTTTCCACTGTAGAATAGTCACCCTACTCCTACATCTCTTTTCTCTGCATCAATGCACCTACTCAGTTTGCCAAATTCACTTCATCCTTTCAGTCCAATCCATTCAGTAGAACATTTAAAATAGTCAATGGGTATATGGAAAATGTTATACAGTCCACTCCTATTATAACAAACATGGATACACCAAGATTTTATTATCAGGCAATTCTCATCAATCCCAATTTTAAACAAACCAATGTGTTCAGTAACTTGAGTATAACATGATTTCATTTTAACAAGGAAATTGGCTTGGTCCCGAGCACCTCGTTATAATGGCAGTGGACTGTAACAAACAAAAAGAATAAAAGGGAATGTGTCAAATAAAATACATGTACTTTATTTTCGAGAGGTAAACACAATGACATGAGTTTAGTATAGTATGTGTGTTCATATAAGCAAATAAATAAAAGAACTTAACTGATATTTACAATCTTTGGTTAAGTACTGTAGTGTACTGTTGTAGTAATAGAGTTATTCATGGTTTGCTATGATTATACTCTAAAAAAAAAGAAGACAAAGGCGACTGCGTCTCCTATATGCCTCCGCCTTAAAACAAATATCATCCACCTAGAATGTAGCTTTCTTTTTTTGTTCAAATAAAGTATTCAGGTGAGTTTCAGGACTATTACTGAGCCGATGCGGATATGCCAGGCGATCACAAGCTCTCTCCCTCACTAGTAACCAAATAAAGCAGTATTCTGGACATGAGAGTGTTGTTTTCTGTCTCTTTTATTACAATTTAATATTACAAAGTGCTCTTAATAATGTAATAACATTTTAAAACGTCAAGAAAATCATGACAAATAATAATTTTTTCTCGTTTTTTACAAAGATAACAAAATAAAATAAATCATAAAACAGATTTTTCAACAATGCATGCATGCTTTATAGTACAGTTGACATGTTACATAATTTTCTCAATCTCAATTGAACTGTCAAAATCTTAATACAATCATCATAATCTAGAAACACTTACTACAAAATCAATGACATGTCATGTCATTGAGATATATATAAACAAGAAAATGACAGACTTACATGCTACTATTTTCAAATAGTATACCATCATTACCATGTATCATAAGTAATGGTCTTATGGTCCTTTATCTTCACAAAATGCAGGCACTCATTGTGTACACACACATGTTGTACTTGCCTATGAATCTCAATGATTAGACATAAGAATTACATAATAAAATGGAAACAAATACTAATGTAAAGGATACAGATGTTGGTCTTGCTGTTCACAGGCATCTAATCAAATGGTGGTTGTACGTTACATGTACATTGTAGCTTGATTAGTTTCAATGGACCTGTAAAGATATAAATGAAATGTGAGTTAGGGGTTAGAATAATCATGCATTGGTACATTTATGAACATGCAATTAATACTTAGTACAAGTATTTATGTATTTCATAATGAAAAATTCAAAGGCACAGAACATGTGTGTACAAAAGTATGATAGCAAAAAAGATGCCAGGCTGACGACGAACGGATGGTGAAACAACGGAGTCATCAAAGAGCTGTCAAGGTGCATGAAATGTAAACCACTCAGGTAGGCAATTAATTAGAGTTATTTTATTCTTAGATATATCGGGTGAACATACATAAAATAAAACATAAAACACAGAAAAGAAAATAGTAAAGAAACAATTTTTTGAAGAAAAAAATTAAAAGGAAAGAGAAAAATAATGTAGATCTAGGTAGAACTTGTGCCACCTGCAAATTATTGTTCTAGCATAATGATGAGGTAAACTACTCTAATATTTTGATGTCAGATCTTAACTAACAAACATGAAATAAATATACCCAAACAAATTATCAACAATAGATTTAGATTTCTACTTAGTAAGGACATACCTCGCAGACGTGCAGACACACTCTCGGACTTGGAAGACTTGCTCTTCTTCTTGCGTGGTGCTTTAGCAGGTTGTGTTTTCCGATTCCTAGAAAAAAAATTTGAGATACAATTTAGCCTAAAACCACATCAAAACATTATATCATGCAAGGCAATATAATTGACAGACGTAGTAATGGTAAAAAATCTGAAATTTCTACGTGAATTTATTGTAATCACGTTTGTTTACATTCACTCATTCACTAACAGACACTACGTACTGCACTTGGGGATTCACTACACTTCACTCAGCAGTACATGGGAATATTGATACGTAAAATAACATTCTATAAGCCTACTATGTCTATGAAGTAGCATTATATTCAACAACAGACACAATAAAAATATATATATCATAATATAAGTAAGTTTCAGAAATAAACGTACCTTTTCAGCTGTTTTCTGGGGCCAGTTCCGCTCGTCGATGATCCGTCATTCGACAACAAACACGTTTCTCTACGAGTGGGACTAGTAATATTTTGAAAATTTGTCGGGCTCATTTTCTTGGGAAGAATAACTAAAATGGGATAAGGAGGCATCGGAGTATGAGGAGTCACTATCTCTTGATGAAATTTCATCGCTAGAATAATTGCTAGAAGACATTTTGGTGTGATTTGGAGACGTTTGATGAACGAAAATCAGTAAAAGTCCGATGCGCACAGCTGTGCCAGTGGGGACAAAAAAATAACGGGTAATTTTCAAACTACTATATTTTTGTAAATAAAATCAAGAATATTAATAAAGGAACAAAATTGAAATTTCGTACATTTTCTTTTTACACATTGTTTATTTATGGTTATCTTTGAGCTCATTGCACTATTCAATATGTGACCCCACAGCTAAAAACCACCAATAAGTCGCAAAATGAACAACAGAGATAATGGCAGGAGAAGCGGGCTTTTTTAATAGGATGACAGTCATAAACAATGAAATATGCAAGTTTAGAAAATAGACAAAACATAGTTTACAAATTTGTATCATGTCATAAAAAATGTAAGTGCAAAAAATAGGAAGAAAATAGTACTCGCAAATAGGTAAAAAGAAGTCTGAAAAAGATAAAGGTGAAAAAATAGGGAAAAAATAGTCTGAAAAAGATTAAGGTGAAAAAATAGGGAAAAAATAGTCTGAAAAAGATTAAGATGAAAAAATAGGGAAAAAATAGTCCTATTTTTTCCATATTTTTTTGGAGAAAATAGGTAAAAAATAGTCTGGAAAAAGATGAAGGTGAAAAAATAGTTTGGTACTCGAAAATAGGAAAAAATATAACTATTTTTTTCCTATTTTTTAAAAAAAATAGGAATAAAATAGTCCACAAAAGTTGAAGGTGAAAAAAAATAGTTTGTGCTTGAAAATAGGAAAAAAATAGGACTATTTTTTTCCTGTTTTCTTATAGGAAATAGGAAAAAATAGTCTGAAAAAAAATATAGTTGAAACAAAATAGGGAAAAAATAGTTTGTACTTAAAAATAGGAAAAAAATAGCCCTATTTTTCCCCTATTTTCTTGAAGGAAATAGGAAAAAAATAGTCTGACAAAAAATAAAAGTTAAAAAAATAGGGAAAAAATAGTTTTTACTTAAAAATAGGAAAAAAATAGCCCTATTTTTTTCCTATTTTCTTGAAGGAAATAGAAAAAAAATAGTCTGAATTTCCAGAAAATAGGGAAAAAATAGGGAAAAAATTTATTTTCGCAACACAAAAAACTACTAGGGTATGTAAGGATTTCGAGTTAACGTGGCTTGAAATAAATAGTATAAATTCTTCTTCACTTTTTGTAGGTATCTTATATATCAAATTCCAAGACTGCGCTTGTAAAATGGCGACTGGCTGGAATGCTCCCCAGTGAATGGCAAATGTGCATATATTGTCTGCGGGTAAGCCTGAATCCGATGATCGGGGTAATAATATATCTGTAAAGCGCTTAGGCTCATCGTTGTATCGATGTATTATGCGCTATACAAAAGAATTTACATGTTTCAATTCAATTCAATTCAATTTAATATTTTTTTAAAAACCGGAATATACTCAACATTTCATATTACATGAATATATAGAAACACACATAGTTAAAATGTTTACCCAGAATATAGCATACAACAAATTAAAATATTTAAAAAAAGTCCCATTTCTTGTTCCAAGAGTCAAGTCTATCAAAACCAAGAGCAATTTGTTTTTTAATAGCACAACTTATTTGTAATTTTATGATAAAGTGATAGATTTCAGGCAATATATATATTATTACATCGGCAGCAAAAGAGATAATATTTGGCATGAAGAATTACAAAATTAATTATGACTAAAGCGGGATCCTTGATACCAGAATTCCATCTTTATTGGTAATAATGAAACTGTAATGCATTTCCTTGTGCAGTATATTTTTCTGCGCTTCTGATCAAAAGGAATCAGCAATTCTACAATCGTAAAAAAGATTTTGAAGTGTCTCGTTATCATTTTTACACTAGGGACAAAGTTTTGAATCAATGACATTAATATCAAAAATATTTTTTTTCAGAGGAAGATATCGATGAAGAGATTGCAATTGCAAACATCTTGATTTAGTGGACAAGATTGCCTTGAAAAAAAATGGTAAATGGTAGTCCAATCCAGGTTTGCCTCATTCATATGCATGGCCATTTCGTTTCTGAATTTGGTGTCTTAAAAGTTCGATTGACAAAAGCTTTTGAATGAATCTGCAAACTTTACTAGCTTACACATTTCATCAAATAACTCATTCTGCAAACTGTTTTGATTCACTCTATCAACAGTATTTTCGATATCCCCCCCCCCCCCCCTAAGTAGATGGGATTGCATGAATAAAAAAAGAAAATCCATAAAATTATATTTTACCCCAGGGTACTTTTACAATGAACTCATTAAAAATGAGTATATTACCATTATCATAAAGTGAATCCTTATAGTATAAAATACCATTGTTATACCAGTTGTGCTTATACTGAATATTGTTCTTTGTTTTGCTGGAGGAGTTATTCCAAATAATCTGGTCATGAGATTTATTAATAGCTGTTTCATAAGCAATTGAACAATTGAACACCATAAACTGACAGCATTCAGAACAAACATATTGTTGATTTTACCAACGCATATCTCGGACTGATTCATATTACGACGTCATAGGAGATTGCCACCAAAGGGCCTCAAATCGTAATCAAAGAAGATTTTCTTTTTGCGATAAGAAGGAATATGGCGCATACGAAGCCCTACCTCCGAATAATCACCAATGATAGTGAGTCTCTAGTAACTTTCTCCGGCTTCCTAGACCAAATTAATGTATAAACCACGGTATCGCGCTCTTTAATGAATTGGGCAGGGGTCAGTACAGGGAGAACTGAAAGAAGAAAGATACGTTGGGAAAGGCCAAGAGATTTGATAATTGGAATTAGCTCTTCAAATGCCTTAATATTCTAAATATGGCATGTAACAGCATAGAAATCGAGACGGATTTTTATGCCACATGTTTGTGTAGTCCCATATACATCTTTCTGTTTACAGTGCTTGTAATTTTACTGAGACTGGGCCAAATTTCTTATCGTTTTGGTAATTCCAGAACCTTGCAGTTCACCTTTGCTGATCGATTTGACATCGTTTCTTTCGCAATGCTGTTGCATGACCAAAACTCAACTTTATATTCAAAATTGAATTTTAAACATTTCCATGATTAGGCAAAAATTCCTAATAACAATTAAACAAATTATTATTTTTTTTTTTTGACGAGTTAGTTTTCACTTCATATATTCTTTAGACCATTTGGAATAATAATACCAATACAAAATTGGAAAAGTGGCTTTATTCCTTATGTTATCTATTGATTTGATAATTTCTTATGTATTTCTTCGTTTTGTTTAATTTATGTATTTTATTTTTGATGTTGTTTTATTTTAATTTTAACTATTATTTAACTATTTTGAAACCCAACATAAACACCTAAATCAAAAACAAGACCCAATAACTAATTTTTTTATCTCTTTTGTGGAAAAATGAGATTTCTAAATGTTTTGTACTCAAATCGCGAAGATGAGCGATTTTCGGGCTGACATGCAAAGGCAAAAGGTCACGTGACTTTGTAACGGTTGGTCCGATCCTCGAAAAAATTATTTCAAAAAAAAAATCGCGGGGGGCCATAATTCCCCCCCCCCCGGCCTTATTAGGGTTAAACGAATCAGTTTCATTGGCTGTCTGCCCCTAACAACAAAGAAGAAGAAAGACTTTATGCTGATCATCAACGAAACGGAATGGTGAGTAAAACTCTGTTTGTTGCTATGGCTGGCAGCCAGTGACTGTTCATTGCTTGGTTAAAAGATTTTACTGTGAAAAAAAATCAAAGAATTCAAAATTACCCGAAATGCCCTCTGCACTATCGGTCAGCCGACATTGCCCAGCCGTAAAAAGTCTTTTTAGTTAGAGGTAATATAAATGGCTTGGGAAAATAGTGTGTTAATTTTTGATCCTGTGACACACTTTTAACCAATCACTGAACAAGAATATGGAATGACGTATATAACCTTTGTTATATCCTGCATACAATTTTTTAAATTTTTTTTATTGGTGTGTCACATGATAAAAAAAAATAAACTCATTATGTTCTAAAGCCGTAAATAGTACCTCAACTATTTTAATGAAAAAAAAATTAGTTTTTGACTTTTTATATTTAACAAATATACCCTGCCTTCTTTTCGATGTATGTTATATAACTATGGGCCTCGTTCACCTCTTGCCTATAGTTTCAACCAGACCCTCTCAAGACAGTATATATTGGTAAACTATACTACCAAGCCTTTTAAAGCAATTTTCTATCCTGCAGATTTGCCCAATCAGAGGCCTAGGATCTTTATATAGGTATATAGAATGAAAAATGTCATTCAGAATTAATACTACCCCACAAACACAAACAAACACACACACACACAAACACACACACAAACACGCGAACACAAACACATGCACGAAAAAGAAATGTATACAGTTACCAATGCCGTCACACGTGACCCCGGCATCTTCAGTATGCCCACAGTTGTGAGTTAGGTAACCGCTGTGTTGACAGAAAGCGATGTTCGACTCAGATCCCTCGCAATTTACATCATCCAAGATAATTTCCCCTGTGCCTTCGCCAAAGTTTGCGCTGTGGTAAAAAGCCGAAGCACGTGAATATCCAAATGTGCGGCAAACTACATGGGCGTCATCTAAATCCCAGCCGTCGTCACAAACTGTACCCCATGCACCTTGGTAGTAAACCTCAACTCTCCCTTCAAAGGATCCACTTCCACCAAACAAACGGGTTCTGAGAGGTTCTATATTAATTAAACAATAAACATTAACATTAGCATTTCATTCAAATTATTTATTTTCTTCTCCAGTCACACCAATTACCAGGCCTACACCAGACCGAACAAAGGACCGAACGAGAAATTGCAAAAGCATCAAATGGCCAAGAATCGGTCGGTTGGTGTCGGTTTAGTATTGGCTTGGCGGTGTAGTGTCACTTTCCAGCTGAACATCGTACGGTCAAGATAAATTATATACATTGGAAAGAATTGTAAGATTGATAAGCTTTGTACCGTAATTTACAAACAAAAAATATTAGTTGTAACTCACCAACAGCATAATCACATGCATAAACAGAAGCAAACCAATAATTCTGAATTCATCAGGTTCCTTCATCTTGTTAGGATTAAAGGGATAGTTAGGTTCTTGTTTAAGACCGCAAATGCCTTCAAAATGCATGGTTATTGCTCTATTTATGACAGTTTTAGTGCATTTGTGGACCTAACATTGCTATGCAGGTAATTTTTTACCCCAAAATGTGTGAATTTAGATTGAAAACGATCATACATGTACCTATTCAGCTCCACTTTTAGTTAGTGACCTTTAATGAATTAATTAATTATATATAACAAGTAACGGGCCGGCTGGTTGTGAGTATTATAACAAACATGAAAAAGCCAACAAAAAGCCAATATTGGCATTGGCTGGAACATATGGCTCCGTTTAGTCTCATTTCACGACGCCCCCTATCGTCAGAGCATGGTCAGCGTCAGCAGCCTAACATGTTAGCCTATGGACGTTTTTTTTAAAAATCGTTAAAAATTCATTTTTTGTTTAAACGAAAAGCACATCCACCCCGACGTACGTTATCACTAGCTCTTTCATTTGAGCCCTCATGTCTCATTGACTTTTGAAAGTTCACCCACCGTAATTTTTCAAAATAGGTTGCAAGCTCGTCATTGCCTATAATACACATGTGAAACAAGTCTAACTTTGGACTCAGTTTACCAAGCGATTTGAAGATTATAGGTCGAGCACACGAAACATAAAACGCATGAATTATCATAGATCACTTCTGCCTATTTCATTATGTCCATTTCATCCAAACCCCCACTGTAATTTTTCCATCTAGTAAAAGCAAACATTTTGCCGAGTTTAGCAAAAACATGAATATTCATGAACGGTCAGACAATACAGCCTTTTAGTACGTAACGTATAGTGAATGGGAATGGGCGATGATCCGTTCAGGAGGTAGAGGTCAGTGGTTTGTGCTGGCAATGTTCACGCGAGCGAAAATGAGACAATCGGAGCAATATGTAAAACGTATTTTCAACGGCTGGTTCAAAATTACCGAATATTTGTGGGGCAACACAAATATTAGAAATGGTTATATTTATGGATATTTCTGAATCGATTTTGATCAAACAAAGATGATTTTGTCATTTAAATTGTATATTCCTTCAAAATTTGACACTCATTTTTAAATTATCTCACAAAAAACATTTTGTCAAAAGCGGGTTTCATGATACCAGAATTACATCTTTATTGGTAATAGTGAAAATGTTGTGCAGTTCCTTGTGCAGTCAAATTTTCTGCGCTTCTGATCAAAAGGAATCAGCAATTCTACAATCGTAAACAAAGATTTTTAAGTGTCTCGTCATCATCTTTACACTAGGGACAAAGTTTTGAATCAATGAAATTATATCAAGAATAATTTTTTCAGAGGGAGATATCGATGAAGAGATTGAAATTGAAAACATCTTGGTTTAGTGGAGAAGGTTGCCTTGAAAGAAAAATGGTAAATGGTAGTCCAATCCAGGTTTGCCTCATTCATATGCATGGCCATTTCGTTTCTGAATTTGGTGTCTTAAAAGTTCGATTGACAAAAGCCTTTGAATGAATCTGCAAACTTTACTAGCTTACACATATCATCAATTAACTCATTCTGCAAACTGTTTTGAATCACTCTATCAACAGTATTTTCGATATCCCCCCCCCCCCCCCAAGTAGATGGGATTGCATGAATCAAAGAAAAAAATCCATAAAATTACATTAACCCCAAGGTAGTTTAACAATGAACTCATTAAAGTGAGTATATTACCATTATCATAAAGTGAATCCTTATAGTATAAAATACCATTGTTATACCAGTTTTACTTATACTGAATATTGTTCTTTGTTTCGATTGAGGAGTAATTCCAAATAATCTGGTCATGAGATTTATTAATAGCTGTTTCATAAGCAATTGAACAATTGAACACCATTGAACTGACAGCATTCCGAACAAACATATTGTTGATTTTACCAACGCATATCTCGGACTGATTCAAATTACGACGTCATAGGAAATTGCCACCAAGGGGCATCAAATTGTACTCAAAGAAGATTTTCCCTTTGCCATTAGAAGGAATATTGCACATACGAAGCCCTACCTCCGAATAATCACCAACGATAGTGAGTCTCTAATAACTTTCTCCGGCTTCCCAGACCAAATGAATTTATAAACCACGGTATCGCGCTCTTTAATGAATTGGGCAGGGGTCAGTACAGGGAGAACTGAAAGAAGAAAGATAAGTTGGGAAAGGCCAAGAGATTTGATAATTGGAATTATCATGAAAGTAATATCACTTCTTGAAGAGAAGGTTGAGTTCTGGGAAGAGGTGAAAGATAACTAATTTTTAAGCGTTATCATTGTTATAATGCAAGTGTGGAAGAACATCAGATCACAAATGTTACCTGAAAAGCATGGCTCTTCAAATGCCTTAATATTCTAAATATGGCATGTAACAGCATTGAAACCGAGACGGATTTTTATGCCACATGTTTGTGTAGTTATATACATCTTTCTGTTTACAGTGCTTGTAATTTTACTAAGACTGGGCCACATTTCTTATCATTTTGGTGACTCAAGGACCTTGCAGTTCACACCATTGCTTATATGCTAGATGATCAACCTTTTCTGATCGATTCGACGTTTTTTTCACAATGCTATCGCATGACCAAAACTCAACTTTATCTTTAAACTTGAATTTTAAACATTTCCGTAATTAGGCCCAAACATTTTTTTTTGTTTTTTTTGTGGACAAATAAGAAAAGGACAAAGGAGGGTAAACTAGTTGTAGGAGAAGAATTGATTACCGATGGTGCCAAAATGGCTGACACATTCAACGAAGCATTTAATGATGTAGGTAATCAATTGGGAAATGGAACTGAACTACCTGTTACAGATATAGTTCTTGCATAGTATACATCACGGGTGGCCAACCCGCGGCCCGCGGGCCGCATGCGGCCCGCGAGCTCTTTTGGTGCGGCCCGCGGAGCAGTGAAAAAAATACTTCATAAATGAAATGCAGCCACATATAGCAGCGATGAAGTAGGGTAAAACATTTACACGCAGCTATCTCTAATATTTCCATAATTTGATAATTGGTGATACACTGACTCCTCAAATTCCCTCTTATTACATTATATTAACGACATTAATACCCGCATTAATATCACTCGCCGTGCAAATTTCAGTTTCTAATTTCCGCACGCAGTAACAACTGTTGTGATACACTGACTCCTCAAATTCCCTCTCATTATATTATATTAATGACATTAATACCCGCATTAATATCACTCGCCGTGTAAATTTCAGTTTGTAATTTCCGCACGCAGTAACAACTGTTGTGAATCGAGAAATAATGTTTGAAATGCCATACTTGTTTTCAAACTTACAACCCTTTTCTCCCGCCGTACAATTTTCTCATGAATCTTAATCGTAAACTTTATAGTCAGTCCCCTTCCTTCTACACCGCGTTCAATTAGATGTACAGTGTACAAGTAATACATTTAGGATATTCTTTCTGCTGTGTCCTTGATTTTGATTGAAATAACAACCAACATGGCAACGACCTCGAGACCTGCGAAGAAAAGGAGAGTTTCTGATGAAGGCAGAAACTTTAAATCAGATTGGTCTCTGAAGTATTTCTTCATAGAAGAGAAAGGTGGACCACTTTACCTCATTTTCACCAGAGTATGTAACGGAGGTTAACAACATAGTAGAAAAGTGCAAGCCACAGAAATCACACTAAATGTAAGCCTAATATGTTTTTCTCACTGATCTTGTTGTTTGCTTGTTTGTTTTTGCAGAATTTCAGGTGTGTACACGTATTGCATGAGTGTGTGTGTGTGTGTGTGGGGGGGGGGGGGGGGGGGAGACTAGCTAGGCCCGCCAAGTTATGCCAATCGTTAGCTGTGGCCCGCGAGCTTTAAAAGGTTGGCCATCCGTGGTATACATGAATCACAAGAGGCGTTTCGGTTCAAAGAGATACCTGTCGATTTTGTGGAATATGTAAAGTATATTGTAAAATAGCTGCTGGGGTTGATGGTCTTCATTCGAAGCTTTTGAATACCGGGCATGGTGAATCCGTGGTTAGAGCGTCCGCCTCTTAAACAGGAGGTCGTGGGTGCGAACCCCGGCCGAGTCATACCAAAGGGGGGGGGGGGGAAGGGGGAAGATTTTTTTTTTTGTTAGAAAAAAAGTGTTCCTCCCCCCCCCCCCCCTCCCCCAAGCCACTGAAAAAATATCTAACCACGTAATTTTTCCAATTTTCGGGGCCCCCAAAGAAAATGTGCTTTTGCCCCACCCCCTCCCCCCTCCGCCAAAAAAGAGGGAGAGAAAGAGAGAGAGAGAGAAGGAAAAGAAGGGAAAGACGTGAGAAAGGGAAAGAAAGAAGAGGAAGAAGAAAAGAAAAGAGGGAAGGACGAAATCGAAGGGGGGAGGGTGCGAAAGGGCTTTGCCTCCTAGGCTGTTGCCTCCCCTCCCCCCAATAAAAAAATAAGAGAGAAGGAAGGAAATGGAAAGAAAAGAGGAGATAAAGGGAAGAAAAATGGAGGAAGAAGCGAAGCGCGGAAGCTTTGATGTTTCATTAAATTATTAGAGAAATAAGATGATTTATTGTACCGTTCTAGACTCTTGATCCTTGTCTGTATTTCAAAAATGTGTTTCGTCTGCTCCTTTTTCTTCCTACGTCCTCTTCCTTTTCTCTCCTCTCTTTCTGTGGCCGGCGTTTTTTTGTTTTTGTTTTTGGGGGGCGCCCCCAACGCCCTCCTGGCTACGCGCCTGCGGTCAGATATATTTTGATACCTTGTCCGCCCCCGGAAACTCAGGGGTTTAAGGCAATACATTACGGTCAGATAAGCATTCAGGGGGCCGCCTTAGGGCCCCTGGTGGGGTCGAGGGTGCGGCAACTCCGGAATCTCAGGGGTTTTAGGCATTTGATCACGGTCAGATGAACATATTTGTATACCTTATTTAAACATTAGTTATCACTACATATATTCTATAGACCATTTGGAATAATAATACCAATACATAATTGGAAGAATGGCTTTATTCCTTATGTTATCTATTGATTTGATAATTTCTTATGTATATTTTTGTTTTTTTAATTTATGTATTGTATTGTTGTTGTTGTTGATTTATTTTTATTTTAACTATAATTCGACTATTTTGAACCCCAAAATAAACACCCAAACTATAAACAAGACCAAATAACCAATCTTTTATCTCTTTTGTGGAAAAGTGAGATTTCTTTATGTTTTGTACACAAATCACGAAGATGAGTGATTTTCGGGCTGACATGCAAAGACAAAAGGTGACGTGACTTTGTAACGGTAGGTCCGATTTTCGAAACAAATATTTCAAAAGATGCGCAAGATAAAAGTCAGCGAGCGGTGGGGCGCCATCCGTATGCGTTCCCGAACAATCAAACAAAACTCGCGGGGGGGCATAATTGCCCCCCCCCCGGCCTTATTAATATAGGGTTAAACGAATCCGTTTTAATGTATGCCTGCCCCTAACAACAAAGAAGACGAAAGACTTGATACATAGCTGATCACCAACGAAACGGAGTGGTGAGTAAAACTCTTGTTTGTTGCTTCGGCTGGCAGCCAGTGACTGTTTATTGCTTGGTTAAACGATTTTGATGTGAAAAAAAAATCGAAGAATTCAAACTTACCCAATATGCCCTCTGCACTTTCGGTCGATCGATCGATCGTCTGCGCGTAGAGTCAAATCACACAGCCGACATTGCCCAGCCGTAAATAGTCTTTTTAGTTGAGGTAATATTTACGGCTTGGGAAAATAATGTTTCAATTGTTGATCCTGTGACACACTTTTAACCAATCACTGAACAAGAATATAGAATGACATATATAACTTTTGTTATATCCTGCATACAAAATGTGTTGGTTTTTGTTCTTTTCTAAAGCCGTAAATAGTACCTCAACTAATTTAATTTAAAACAATTTTTTTTTTTACTTTTCATATTTAACAAATATACCCTGCCTTCTTTTCGACGTATGTTATATATAACTATGGGCCTCGGTCACCTCTTGCCCATAGTTTCAACCAGACCCTCTCAAGACAGTATATATTGGTAGACTATACTACCAAGCCTTTTAAAGCAATTTTCTATCCTGCAGATTTGCCCAATCAGAGACCTAGAATCTTTATATGGGTATATAGAATGAAAAATTTCATTCAGAATTAATACCACCCCACACACACAAACACACCACATACACACACGCGAACACAAACACATACACGAAAAAGAAATGTATACAGTTACCAATGCCGTCACACGTGACCCCGGCATCTTCAGTATGCCCACAGTTGTGAGTTAGGTAACCGCTGTGTTGACAGAAAGCGATGTTCGACTCAGATCCCTCGCAATTTACATCATCCAAGATAATTTCCCCTGTGCCTTCGCCAAAGTTTGCGCTGTGGTAAAAAGCCGAAGCACGTGAATATCCAAATGTGCGGCAAACTACATGGGCGTCATCTAAATCCCAGCCGTCGTCACAAACTGTACCCCATGCACCTTGGTAGTAAACCTCAACTCTCCCTTCAAAGGATCCACTTCCACCACTCAAACGGGTTCTGAGAGGTTCTATATTAATTAAACAATAAACATTAACATTAGCATTTCTTTCAATTTTTTTTTTCTTCCCCAGTAACACCAATTACCAGGCCTACACCAGACCGAACAAAGGACCGAACGAGAATTGCAAAAGCATCGAATGGCCAAGAATCGGTCGGCTGGTGTCAGTTTAGTATTTGCTTGGCGGTGTGCCGTATAGTATCCAGTAGCATAGGCACCGGAAGCGGGGGGGAGCAGTTGCCTCCCCAACCCAAAAATTGGGGAGGGGGGGGGGGGGCAAAACGCATTTTTGCCCCCCCCCCCCTCCCAAAAAAAAAAAAGCAGTAAAGGAGTAAAGATGGTTTGTATTTTTAACCCAAAAGAACAAAAATACATTTCTGAATTAAGTCACATAAAAAGTTCCATTCAAAGAAAAGGAAAGTGAACAGGAAAACATTGCACATGCCACCTATATTTATTAAAGTTATTAATGGAGGTTTTTATAATAGCGATACGCGCATATCGTGGTCATATGAGAGAGAATAATGTGTCTGTTTTTTGTTAAAGGGGTGAGAAGACATGAGCCCCTGAACGCTGGCGTACTGATGGGAGGGGGTGTTATTTTTTATTCGATAACAGTGATTTACCAATGTTGCTGAAATGACATGATTTCCGGTAATTTTTCTCAATTTTGTTGTAAGTCATAGCTTTTTATGCGTTTGTTGGGAAATTAGAAATTCCCATATTTAAAGTCGGGCGGAAAATATGCCTATTTGTCAGGGTTTGCAGAACGGCTGGGCTCGGGGCCTTGAGCCCCCCCCCCCCCCCTCACATTTTGAAAAAGTATGAAGAAGATATTAGAGATCTTCAGAGCGTATGGAATACCACACACAATAGTTACAGCAGTAGGAGTGATGTTCAAAGATACCACAGCTCAAGTACGTTCACCAGATGGAGAGACTGACTCCTTTACCATCTTAGCAGGACTGGTTCAAGGAGATACCTCAGCAGCATACTTATTCATCATAGCATTGGATTATGCTCTAAGAATGGCTACTGAAGGGTTCGAGGATCTAGGCTCCACCCTACAGGAAAGGAAAAGTAGCAGATATCCTGCTGAAATGATCACATATACCGACTTTGCTGATGATATTGCACTAATTTCAGACAATCTGGAAAAGGCACAGAAGCTCCTAGAACAAGTAGAGTCTGCAGCAAGCCAAGTCGGTCTACAAATAAACAGTACTAAGACATAATTCATGATGTACAACCTTCGTGAAGGCGAGATCTGTACTACTGACAGGACAAAGCTGAAGCAGGTTCAAGACTTTCAGTACCTTGGCTCGTGGGTTGATCAGTCAAAACAAGACCTGAATATCCGAGAGGCGAAAGCCTGGACGGCTTTGAACAAGCTTACAGCCATTTGGAAATCAAACCTCGGTAGAAAACTGAAAGTCCGTTTCTTTAGGGCTTCAGTGGAAACTGTACTGCTCTATGGTTCAGAAGCCTGGACATTGACGAGTAGCCTGGCAAAACAACTGGATGGTTGCTATAAAAGACTCTTGAGAGCAGCACTAAATGTCAACTGGAGTGACTATATGACCAATATTGAACTGTATAGAGACATTACACCGATCTCAGCCAGACTGAGAGACCGTCGCCTCCGTTTCAGTGGGCACTGCTGGAGGAGCAATAGAGAAATCATTTCACAAATGCTCTTCTGGGAGCCCTCGAGGGGCAAACGCATCAGAGGGCGCCCATCAGAGAGCACTGACTTACTTGACCAGTTAGAAAAAAACACCTGTCTACCAAGACAGGAGCTCCCAAAGATCATGGAGAATAAGTCGGTGAATATTGATGTGCATCCCCTCTTTCTTTTCTCTTCTTTTTTCTGTCTTTTCCCCCTTTTTACCAATATTTTGTTCTTCCATATTTGTATTATTATGTATCCTTTGAGGGTAGTCATACTATCAAGCTTTGCTTATTTTGTCAACCCTCCTGTTTGATGTTCTCGATTAGTTACACCCAGCCTTACCTTATTCTACATATATTCTTTTGTCATGTGTAAATTTGCAATATTTGTTTGTTATATATTTGTAAAAATGCAAAAGAAAAAGAAAATCAAACAGAAATAAATAAATCAAATCAAATCAAATCAATAGAACTGTATGGAAAAAGCTTGTCAAATCAGTGAGATTACGCTCGACCTGGTATACTGAGAAAAAGAAAGAAAGAGAGAGAAAAGCTTCCGGGGGCTCTGCTCCCTGGACCCCACCAAGGGCCCTAAGGCGGCTCCCTGGATGCTCATCTGACCGTAATTAAATACTTAAAACCCCCGAGCTTCCGGGGGCTCTGCTCCCTGGAACCCACCAAGGGCCCTAAGGCGGGCCCCTGCATGTTCATCTGACCGTAATTAAATACCTAAAACCCCTAAAGCTTCCGGGGCTCTGCTCCCTGGACCCCACCAAGGGCCCCAAGGCGGCTCCCTGGATGCTCATCTGACCGTAATTAAATACTTAAAAACCCCGAGCTTCCGGGAGCTCTGCTCCCTGGACCCCATCAAGGGCCCTAAGGCGGGCCCCTGGATGTTCAACTGACCGTAATTAAATACCTAAAACTCCTAAAGCTTGCGGGGGCTCTGCCCCCTGGACCCCACCAACGGCCCTAAAGCAGGTCCCTGGATGCTCATCTGACCGTAGTTAAATACCTAAAACCCCTAAGCTTCCGGGGCTCTGCTCCCTGGACTTTCCACCAATTAGTGTCCTGCCAGTGTCATAAATAAGGTATCTAAATATGCTTCTCTGACCGCAATTTAATGCCTAAAATCCCTGAGCTTCCGGAGTCAATTTACGCTCTACCTGATCGTTAATATTCCACTTTGAAGAACGTTCCGCGGGGCCTCCATATAACATGTAGGAGTGGCGGTGATGCAGATTTTTCTGCTCCCCCCCCCGGCCCCTTCCTAACGTTTTTGCTCATTACGTCATTGCCCCTGGAAAGTGAGCCCCCTGGAATGTTTGCCTCCCCAATCCCAAACTGCTTACGGCGCTCCTGTCAAGTAGTGTATTTTTTAAGCTGAACATCGTACGGTCAAGATGACTGATATAAGTTGGAAGGAATTGTAAAATTAATAAGCTTTGTACTTTACTTTGTAATTTACAAACAAAAAATATTAGTTGTAACTCAGCAACAGCATAATCACATGCATAAATAAGATCAAACCAATAATTCTGAATTCATTAGGTTCCTTCATCTTGTTAGGATTAAAGGGATAGTTAGGTTCTTGTTTAATACCGCAAATGCCTTCAAAGTGCATGGTTATTGCTCTTATTCTTATTGATGACCGTACTAAATACTAGTTCCTTTTTGGACCTAAAATTGCTATGAAGGTAATTTTTTACCCCAAAATGTGTGAATTTAGATTGAATACGATTATACAAGTACCTATTCAGCTCCACGTTTAGTTAGTGACCGTTAATGAATTAATTAATTATAAATAACAAGCAACGGGCCGGCTGGTTGTGTCTATCATAGCAAACACGAAAAAGCCAACAAAAAGCCAATATTGGCATTGGCTAAATTAAAACGTATAAGGCGCCATCTCGTTTTTCAACGGCTGGTTCAAAATTACCGAATATTTGTGGGGCAGCACAAATATTAGAAATGGTTATATTTATGGGTATTTCTGAATCGATTTTGATCAAACAAAGATGATTTTGTCATTTAAATTGTATATTGCTTCAAAATTTGACACTCAGTTTTTAATTATCTCACAAAAAATATTTTGTGTAGCGCCCTCTGCAACATAACTCAAGTATCCCTTTTGATGAAGCCAATTCCGAAATACTAGATACTCAAGTATCCAGAATTCTGTACTGGCTATTTCCTTGTTATTGTGTGTCACAAGGTAAGAGCTAATTTTATAATAAAAAAAAACATCGGTGATGTTTTAAGGATACAGCCTTAAAACAAACAGGAATATTAATTTCAATCCATTCTAAGAGTATGCGCAGTTTGCCAATAACCTTTGACCGCAGCATGGTGTTTTTGTTCTGAATCACATGATTCGTATTCTCATCTTTTGATTGGTTCAGCGGTTTGTCAGCGGGCTATGCAAAATTTAGGTGCAATTTTTTTAACCGCACCCTGCACGATTTTTTTGTTTTACTTCCCCTATGCTTTTTATACACACCGTACTTGATTTTCTTTTTTTGCAGGCAGTCTGCACAACTTTTGCAGCTTTTTAATTTGTCAGTGAGAGAGGCGAGAAATGGACCAAAGATTCAGAACAAAACAAAGGGAAAGAAGAAAGGTACACGGAGAGAAGAAAAAGAGGAAATAAAGAAAGTGGGGAAAAAAGAGAGAGGCAGAGACAAACAGACAGATAGAACACAGGGGAACATGGAGATTAGAGGGAGGGAGGACAAAGAGGAAGGGAAGTAACGAGGGGAATGAAAGAGGAAGTAAGAGACTGGAATGGTTCCGAGCGTAAGAGAGAGGGGGAGAGAAAGGATGGATTGAGAGACAGAACTATTGTTGGAAGAAGAAGAACAGAGAAATTAAAAGAGAGAAAGAGAAGAAAGAGACAACAAATGTGGGAGATTGGGGTCAGATGAAGAGAGATAAACAGATCGAGAAAGAGAAAGGAGAGAGCGATAGAAAGATAGAGAGAGATAGATAGATAGATAGAGAGAATGAAAAACTTGGGGGAGAGAAAAAGAGCGGGAGCTGGAGGGGAGAGGCATGCGAAATATTGAACCCATTAGAACACGATTTTTGCAATGAGGACTAGACACTTCCGGCATAAATAATAGCTGAACGCCCCCCCCCCCCCCTCCCCCGAGTACAAATAAATGTATATTTTGTTAACGCCGACCCCGATTATTTACAAGATTAGGTATTTATATAGTTTGTTCGGTTTGTCGACTTAGCATTGCTTTTTTCAACATAATTTTTGGCATGATTTTCTACCCCATCAATCTTGGGAGGATGAAAAACAGTTCAGGTGAAACGTAAATAATTATCTTAATAGCAATAGGTTTCATTCCTGTCAATCGCTAATCATTATACTTTTTTCATATTCACTTAATTGCTAACCGTAATTATGCATGAAATATTGCTTGATTTGTTAAAAGAACATATTGTGTCTCATTCTGCCTCGCCCTATGCATTTAAATTATATATAAAAATATAAGCTTGATCTTCATCCGATTGAAAACAAGAAAAAGATTTGTTTTTAAAGAAAAAAGTTAGAAGAAAACAATAAGATTGTACTCAACGGTGATCTTGTATCCTTGCTATTTTGTAACAAAATTTGAGGAAGTAACTAGCAGTGTACATTCGCCCCTAATAATAATACACATGGGCAAACCATGTACCAATGCTCTGTACTTCCATTAAGAACAGTAAGATTAGTAAGCTTTATACCATACTTTACAAACCAAAAATATTAGTTTTAACTCACCAACAGCATATGCGGATGCCATCACTTGCATAGAAAGGAGCAAACCAATCATTCTAAACACATCGGGTCCCTTCATCTTGTTAGCATTAAGTGAAGCCAATACCGATATACCAGATTTTCGATTATCTAAAAGTACGTGCGGGTTATTTCCTTGTTATGGTGTGTCACAAGGAAAGAGCTAATTTTATTTTTTAAAAACATTGTTGGTGTTTTAAGGATATGGCCTTGAAACAAAACAGGAAGATTAATTTCAATCCAGTCTATGAGTATGGGCAACTTGCCGATATCCTTTGACCGCAGCATAGTGCTTTTGTTTTGAATCACATGATTCGTGTTCTAAACTTTTTAAGGGTTCGGCGATTTGCCAGCCCCCCCCCCCCCCTCCAAAAAAAAAAACATAATATGTCTCATTCTACCTCGCCCTCCCTTATAATTACAAATGCATTGAAATTAAACATAACATTAAAGGCTTGATCTTCATCAGATTAAAAACAAGAACATTTTTTTTTTAATAAAACAGTTAGCTACAAGAATGTACTAAACGGTGATCTTGTATCCTGGATATATGGTGCAACAAATTATGAGGAAGTTACTTGCAGTGTGCATTCGCCATTAATAATAAAACACATGGGCACACCATGTTCCAATTCTCTGTATTCCCCTTACACGCAAAAAACTGAGGTGCTAAATGTTGGGTGCTGAGTGAGATTCTGCACTTGAAGTGCCAAAATCAGCACTTGACGGGTTAACTTTAACAAGGAAACCGAAACGTGCTGAATATTTGAGTGCAGAAAACGAGTGCTATAACAATATGCAGCACTTAACATCGAGTGCTGACTGCATAACCTGATCTGATTGGTCGGTTAGTATAATAGCTGTTACCTTGTGAATATTTGTTTTTGAATCAAATTCAGCTAAGAGATTCTTACATTCTTCATTCTCCAGGTCAATACCCAAGGCCTCAAAAGTCTGAATAACTTTGCTCCTTAAACTGTCAACAACATCAGTATTCAAAGCTGTTGCAGCAGATAACACTCTGTTTGTCATAGCATGGGTCATGTTGGTGTTTGATAAAAGAGAACCAATGAAAATGCAGCTGGTCTCACTATGAACATGACAGACAATGAAAGCGGACAAAATATACAGTTCCTCAGGTAGACAAAGGAACATCCCTTGACTGCTATTATGTAAAATGTGTAGAACAGGTGAATATGCATGTGACACCTGTTCTACACATTTTTACATAATAGCAGTGAAGGGATGTTCCTTTGTCTACCTAAGGAACTGTATATTTTGTCCGCTTTCATTGTCTGTCATATTCATAGTGTCTTGTACTGTCATTATGCATTGCTCCATCTTGTTCTTGTAGTAGGCCTATCCCGGGGCCTATCCTATCATCATCATCATCATCAAATGCATCATCTGCTGCAGGATTATGCACTTCACCAACAGCAACACCCAAATCAGCATCAACTAGACCCTCCATACCCTGTACAACTTCAGGTTCAGGTTCTTCTTGTGGATGTTGGTTTAATAAATGTTTCCTGTAAGAGTTGAAAGTGGTAAATGACGAAGGACATCCACCTTGACCACATACCAAATGTAGATGGGGCATGTCAAACAACGCATGAGTTAGCACTTGCACAAGGGCTATTCTGCTAGCACCCAAAAGAGAGCAAAACTTGGCACTTTAAGTGCACAACAGTCAGCTCCTTTGGGTGCTAGCAAAGTAGCCCGGGTGCAAGTGCTAACTCAGCACTTCGAGTGCAGTCACTATGCGAGCTCCTAAAAAGTGCTAAAATTGAATCTTTAAGTGCTAAATTTAGCACTTTTTTTTTTTGAGTGTAAGAATTGTAAGATTGATAAGCTTTATACCATACTTTACAAACCAAAAATATTAGTTTTAACTCACCAACAGCATATGCGGATGCCATCACTTGCATAGAAAGGAGCAAACCAATCATTCTAAACACATCGGGTCCCTTCATCTTGTTAGGATTAATTGAAGTCAATACCGATATACCAGATTTTCGATTATCTAAAAGTACGTGCGGGTTATTTCCTTGTTATGGTGTGTCACAAGGAAAGAGCTAATTTTATTTTTTAAAAACATTGTTGGTGTTTTAAGGATATGGCCTTGAAACAAAACAGGAAGATTAATTTCAATCCAGTCTATGAGTATGCGCAGCTTGCCGATAACCTTTGACCGCAGAATGGTGCATTTGATCTGAATCACATGATTCGTATTCTAATCTTTTGATTGGTTCAGCGGTTTGTCAGCGGGCTATGCCAAATTTAGGTGCAATTTTTTTAACCGCACCCTGCACGATTTTTTGTTTTACTTCCCCTATGCTTTTTATACACACCGTACTTGATTTTCTTTTTTTTGCAGGCAGTCTGCACAACTTTTGCAGCTTTTTAATGTGTAAGTGATAGAGGCGAAAATGGACCAAAGATTCAGAACAAAACAAAGGGAAAGAAGAAAGGTAGACGGAGAGAAGAAAATGAGGAAATAGAGGAAGTGGGGAAAAGAGAAAGAGAGAGGCAGAGACAAACAGACAGATAGAACACAGGGGGACATGGAGATTAGAGGGAGGGAGGGCGAAGAGGAAGGGAAGTAACGAGGCGAATGAAAGAGGAAGTAAGAGACTGGAATGGTTCGGATCGTGAGAGAGAGAGGGGGAGAGAAAGGATGGACTGAGAGACAGAACTATTGATGGAAGAAGGAGAACAGAGAAATTGAAAGAGAGAAAGAGAGGAAAGAAACAACAAATGTGGGAGATTGGGGTCAGATGAAGAGAGATAAACAGATCGAGAAAGAGAAAGGAGAGAGCGAAAGAAAGAAAGAGAGAGAGAGAGATAGATAGATAGAGAGAATGAAAAACTTGGGGGAGAGAAAAAGAGCGGGAGCTGGAGGGGAGAGGCATGCGAAATATTGAACCCATTGGAGCACGATTTTTGCAATGAGGACTAGACACTTCCGGCATAAATAATAGCTGAACCCCCCCCCCCCCTCCCCCGAGTACAAATAAATGTATATGTTTTAACGCCGACCCCGATTATTTACAAGATTAGGTCTTTATATAGTTTGTTCAGTTTGTCGACTTAGCATTTCTTTTTTCAACATAATTTTTGGCATGATTTTCTACCCCATCAATCTTAGGAGGATGAAAAACAGTTCAGGTGAAACGTAAATAATTATTTTAATAGCAATAGGTTTCATTTCTGTCAATCGCTTATCATTATACTTTTTTCATATTCACTTAATTGCTAATCGTAATTATGCATGAAATATTGCTTGATTTGTTAAAAGAACATAATGTGTCTCATTCTGCCTCGCCTTATGCATTGAAATTATATATAAAAATTTAGGCTTGATCTTCATCCGATTGAAAACAAGAACAAGATTTGTTTTTAAAGAAAAAAGTTAGAAGAAAACAATAAGATTGTACTCAACGGTGATCTTGTATCCTTGCTATTTTGTAACAAAATTTGAGGAAGTAACTAGCAGTGTACATTCGCCCCTAATAATAATAATACACATGGGCAAACCATGTACCAATGCTCTGTACTTCCATAAAGAACAGTAAGATTAGTAAGCTTTATACCATACTTTACAAACCAAAAATATTAGTTTTAACTCACCAACAGCATATGCGGATGCCATCACTTGCATAGAAAGAAGCAAACCAATCATTCTAAACACATCGGGTCCCTTCATCTTGTTAGCATTAATTGAAGTCAATACCGATATACCAGATTTTCGATTATCTAAAAGTACGTGCGGGTTATTTCCTTGTTATGGTGTGTCACAAGGTTAGAGCTAATTTTATTTTAAAAAACATTGTTGGTGTTTTAAGGATATCGCCTTGACACAAAACAGGAAGATTAATTTCAATCCAGTCTATGAGTATGGGCAACTTGCCGATATCCTTTGACCGCAGCATGGTGCTTTTGTTTTGAATCACATGATTCGTGTTCTAAACTTTTTAAGGGTTCGGCGATTTGCCAGCCCCCCCCCCCCCCCCCCTCTAAAAGAAAAAAACATAATATGTCTCATTCTACCTCGCCCTCCCTTATAATTACAAATGCATTGAAATTAAACATAACATTAAAGGCTTGATCTTCATCAGATTAAAAACAAGAACATTTTTTTTTTAATAAAACAGTTAGCTATAAGAATGTACTAAACGGTGATCTTGTATCCTGGATATATGGTGCAACAAATTATGAGGAAGTTACTTGCAGTGTGCATTCGCCATTAATAATAAAACACATGGGCACACCATGTTCCAATTCTCTGTATTCCCCTTAAGAATTGTAAGATTGATAAGCTTTATACCATACTTTACAAACCAAAAATATTAGTTTTAACTCACCAACAGCATATGCGGATGCCATCACTTGCATAGAAAGGAGCAAACCAATCATTCTAAACACATCGGGTCCCTTCATCTTGTTAGGATTAAGTGAAGCCAATACCGATATACCAGATTTTCGAGTGTCTAAAAGTACAGGTAGGTTATTTCCTTGTTATTGTATGTCACAATGTAACAGCTAATGTTATAATAAAAAAACATTGGTGATGTTTTAAGGACATCGCCTTTAAACAAAACAGGAAGATTAATTTCAATCCAGTCTATAAGTATGGGCAGCTTCCCGATAACCTTTGACCGCAGCATGGTGCTTTCGTTTTGAATCAAGCGATTCGTGTTCTCATCTTTTTATTGGTTCAGCGGTTTGTCAGCGGGCTACGCAAAATTTAGGTGCATTATTTTGAATCGCACCCTGCACGAGGTATTCTTCACTTCACCTATGCTTTTGATACACACAGGAAATTTTGCATCTTTTCTGTGTGAGTGACAGAGGCGAGAAAAGGACCAAAGATTCATTTTAAAAAATATAAAAAATTCAGCGCCACTTTTTAATCTTCCGAAGGTTAAGACAGCTGCCCTGTATAGACGTTTTAGAGATAACCCCTTATACCAGGTCAGATATCCCCTTTAACAGTGACCCACCCTAAGCTCAGGTACCATAGGCTGCGCTACGGGGGGGGGGCAGGGGGCACT